CTCTTCCGTTATTTCTCCTCCGTGATATTAATGCCCGACTCAACATCTCTATTGACATACCATTGCCCTCCTTTATTCTCTTTTCTCTTTTCCCTCCAGGATTTCATCTTCTCACTGAACAAATTGCTAGCTATTTCCTGACCCTTCCATCAGTTTCAAGTGAATATTCATGACATGTTACCCCAACCCTAATTATAAAGTAGAAATATAAAATTTTTATCTTATTTATAAGTCATATTATTAAATTTTTATGATATATTTTTTAATACTCTATCAAATGATAAAAAAGAAAATAAGTTATTCATATATATATATATAATAAGAATAAAATTAAAAGCTTATTAATTTTTAAGATAAAAGTTAATAAGATTTAATTTAAAAAAATTAATCTTTTAATCCTCCAACTTTTAAGTCACTTATAACTTAATCCCTCAACTATGACTTACCTATGACTCAATCCCTCAACTTTTGAATCATTCATAAATTAGTCTATTAACTTTTGTTATTTTTTTTTCATGTGAGCTTATATCTCACATCAATGAGCAAGAGGAAGGTATTTTAAAATAATATATGAGTATTTTTTATCTCTCTTATTTGATAAAAAATTTTTTAAAAAAATTTAAAAATAAAGACTGAATTATAAGTGAATTAAAAGTTAAGGATTGAGTCGTTGCGAGTTATAATTGAGGGATTAAGTTATAAGCGAGTTAAAAATTAAAGGATTAAAAAATTATTTTTTTAATTTTTTTATACTGACAACATATGTCATGACTGACATATAAATAGAACGGGAAGAGTATCATTTAACAAGACAGATCCCTTCCAATTCATCTTAAATTTAATACCCGTGCACCGGAAAACTCTGACCCTGCGGATAATGTTTTTTTGTCGTATTGACTTTATGTGCAGAAGATTTAAATTAGAGTTTAACTCCATGAGAATGGGCTGAGATTCAACAGTCAGCGTCGCAGTCAATCGCCTGTTCTCCCCACTTATTGTGGCCATCGGGAACCGCGGCTGGGCCAAGCAGGAAACAGAGGATAATATAAATAATCGAACATGTAGCATTCGAATATCGTGTCAGTCAATTCTGGGGACCAGTTTGGCACGTCATCTATCCTTTCATACGGAGAAAAAATGTTTTCATGCAGTGTCAAGATATATATTAATTTGTTATGCGGCCGTACCAGTAACTTGTCACAATTTCCTGTCAGCATGACAGTAAAAATTGTTAAATAAGCTTCTTGTAGGAGAAATAGGTGTAGCGTACAAAAATTGATTTCATTAGAATGATTGGGTGTAGTTTAATAATTTTAAAAATAAAATATAATTTTACTTCGTCCTATCATGCATGTACTCCTTCTATTTTTATTTATAAAAGATATCACACGATTAAAAAAATTAATTAATTATATTAATTATATTTAAAAATAAATAATTCAGATAAATATATTTTTATTAATTGTGTTAATTAAATTTTTATTAAGTATTTTTTATGATTATGAATAATATAAATTATGAGAGATATTTTTAAAAAATTTATAATAGATTTTTATTAAAAAACGTAATTTTATTTATATACAAAAATTAAAAATAATAGCTTCTCTTGAAAATAAAAATGGAGGGTGTGCCTGTGATTGGAACTCGGACGCTCTGGCTCACTTTCGTAAGCTGAACTTGCTAGAGCCGCGCACTAATAACAACTATATTTTAAGGACATGGGTGATGGTAATTCCCTGATCGTCCTTCAAATTAATTATATTGGTTATGTTTAAAAATAAAGAATGTAGACTAAAATATATTTTAAGAACTTGCTCGAGTCGCGCATTAATAACTCTGCCTCTTCAATTGTTAGCTTTATTTGGAGGGGGAAAAAAATTGAAAGCAAGCAGCCTTCCCCTAACCGTCCGCTCTCAAAAAACTGGTGTATTTCTTTTGAAGTCAGGAAAAGGTTGCAAAGAATTCAAATGCTAAAAACAAGTCAGCACATGCGTGCATTCGAATTTTCGGTCAAATGGATAGATACTAACATTTGATCTAGGCTAAGAATCTCTCCCGTGGGCTTGCTCGGGTATCGACCATTTTTAGAGTCATGAGCAGCCAGTTTTAAATTACTATAATTTGGATGCACTGTCTCGTGAAGTGATACTTTAAAATTTACATAATGTATTGGTGGGCTATCAATAGGCTTGGTGTGGTGCAACCTAATCTTATAGGGATCACCATCAAAGTTATAGAATGGAATTCCCCCTCACCTCTTTCCTTTTAAAGAATAACATATCTTCCTTTAAGATATAAACGTTATCCCTTTTCTCTTGTTTTCTTTTCGCTTGAGTTTATACAAGAATAAAAATAGCTCCTCATTTATTACATTCATACTGGTATATGTGATATATCAATACATCTGCCCAGGCTTAATCATGAGTTTATTTTTCATAAGCATGAAGCACGCGGTTAGGATTTGTCACGCCTAAAAAACATGCAACGGAGATAACAAGGATGGTAAAAATATGTTGCCTAGTGAAGCATTGCGTGGGTGTATAAAATAGAATAGTCCCATGTTACCTACTTGAAAGGAGCACTAATACTTTGTTTGGTATGATGAAAGAGTTTTTAATAAAAATAAAAGTGAAGTTAAAAGTGAAAGTGAGCTTAAAAGTATATATGATAGGTTGATGAAAGTTAGATATAATTTTTAATTAATATAACCATTTATAATGTGAAAGAACTTAAATGTCCTTGCTAGGAAAAACCCTACCCACCATCCTAAATAGCCACAACCATTGATGTTGCTGCCTCAACACAAACAACCACCAGCCATGAACAAGATAATGATAGATGAGAGGAAGAAATTGAACCAAGTGCAAAGACAAAAATTGAAAAGGAAGAAATCAAACCAAAGACAAAAATTGAAGACCCATAGTTAAATGCATCATTCAAAAACAAAATCAAAATCCACCATTCAAAATCAAAATTAGCAAACTAGTCATCATTGTCCAATACCGTCCTCACCGTTTACCGAATTAGTAATTGAAGGGAGATTGTTGAGATCAAAGAATATAGAGGAGGAAGAGATGTCATAAATCAAACCATATGCTCATTGCTAGTGGTTATCAAATGGGAGAATCTAAGATCGAAGAATTTTAAGAGAACTGAAAGACCGTCAAGGAAGAAACGATGCACCGCCACTTATGGTTGGGAGTTTCCATCACCTTTCACTCCTGTTATTGATTTTAGAAAGGTACTCTCCAGTAGTGGTTGGGAGTTGCCACCACCAATCAAGCACCTTCACATCCTCCTTTGCGTTGCCTTCGATGAACATTGTTAACGAGGTTGGGTCCATTGTAAGGGAAAGGAGAGTATGAGGGCAAAGAAGGTAAATGAGAGGGGAAGTAAAGGGGGAAGTTAGTTCCCAAGGTTGTGTGTTCCATCACATTTGATGGAATTAGGTTCCTCAAGGAACACGAATCTTGCATACCAAATAGTCACAAATATGAATTTCACTTTCATCTCTCCAATTCCATCTCACCAAATGAGTCATAAAAGTATAAATGACGAGGAGTAAAAAAATAGGCTAATAAATGAGCTTGAAAGAGAAATAAGCTTGCATGTACGAAACAAGTCAATGTTAGGTAATCTTTATTTAATAGCTGATTCGCCCTTTTATTCGTGAGTTGCAATGACATTGGACACTTTTTATTAGATTTATTTTTGCAAAATTACAAAATTAATCTTGTATCGATGTTCTTACTAGGAAAATCCATATTTTACTATGTTTCAAATCTAAATCCACAGAGTAAGAAAAATAAGGGGATTTTTTACCTTCACTTAACTCAGTTTGGGATTTTATTCGTGGATGCAAACAAAGTCAATAAAAAAAAACCCATTTAAATCGGTGTAATGATAACTTTTTCAAATGTGTCTTTTTCTCGAACAAGAATTTTAAAGCAGGCCATTGCCAAGGGAATTTTGGTAGGAAGGACTGTGAGGCAAAGATATTTGAGGAAAAGGCCCAAGGTCCTTCAAGTGAATCAATATCATAACCTTAATTCACTTAAAAGATCTTATGCCTTTTTTTCTCAAAAGAATGGAGACAGCATGGCAGATTAGTGCAATGCATCTTTATTTTTATTTTTTCAAATATCTAGTTTGTTTGAATGTAGTTCAAGTAGTTGTCATTTTAAAAGGAAGTGATAAATGGTAGATGTAAATTGATTTGTATTTGCACCTTTTCTTATTTTTCATCTTATTATTTTTTTAAAACATGAAATCTTATTTATCTTCTTTAAAAAAATCAAATTTTATTAAATTCACACATTCTTAATTTTAAAGACATACTCTCCACTTATCGCATGCTCAGGTTGATATTGAAAACCATCAAAATCAACACTCTATTGATCATGTGTTTACTTCCCATTTATATTGCTCTGCCCTGCCATCCCTTTTGCTAAGGGGGAAAAAGGCAAGATTACCAGAAAACGAGGGAAATGGATATAGGGAAAGTGAAAAGTAGTTATATATAGAATGGAATATTTGTGTGGCTCTTTTGAAGTGCTTTGATAGGCTTGAAAGGAGAGTTGAGGATGGACACGGGGCCATGGGCCATAACTATCAGGATTGTAAACCCAATAGCACTATTAGAACTAGTTTTCTCGCAGATCAGCGCATGGTGAGCACTTGTCACATGGAATTTAATCCATCTTATAGACATAGGCACGCATTGCCTTTGCCAGTGTCGAAAGTGGAGCCACTCTAAAATCAGAAAACTACAATTCTTGGACCAGTCCCCTCTTTTGACCCCACGATGTTCCCCCTCACATCACCCGTCTACGTTCTCTCTCGGGACCTCAACGGCTCTACCAAATCCAGCCCGATTCTGGGGCAGCTCACACCTTCTATAAAGTAGTTTCTCATTATCAGCTTTTGTTATTTTAATCAAATTTAAAAATATATTAAAAAATAAAATTGTGCTGCGATCTGATAATCTACGACCAAGATGGCAGCTATAAATACCAGCCCGCCACAACGAAGATAACAGAAAGGGAAAAGGGAAATCCAGTAAGCTACGGCAGAGAGCTCAACCCCCTACGCCAGTCTCATCCGAACAACCCAATACCAAGAGAAGTCACCCTCTCAATTTCTCACATATCAACCGAAAGTCCCCGGAAGAAGCACATGGGCCCCTTCATCCTCGACGCGCTCAATGTCCGCGTGGAAGGCTCCGGCGACCAAGTCCTCGTCCTAGCTCACGGCTTCGGCACCGACCAATCCGCCTGGCAGCGTATTCTCCCTTACTTCACTCGCCGTTACACCGTCATTCTTTACGACCTCGTCTGTGCCGGCAGTGTTAATCCCGATTACTTTGATTTCCGCCGATATACTACTCTCGACGCCTACGTCGACGACTTGCTTGACATTCTCGACGCCCTTCGCGTTCAACACTGTGCTTATGTCGGTCACTCTATCTCAGCCATGATCGGAATCTTAGCCGCCATCCGCCGACCTGACCTCTTCACTAAGCTCGTCCTCATCGGCGCTTCTCCCAGGTAAAGTCAATTCTATTCCGGATCAGCGTCCTACCCGCTCGACTATGTTCAATTCTATCACAGAACCTTCTCGAATACGCTTTCGACTTCACGTTTTTCTTTCAGATTTTTGAACGACACAGATTATCACGGAGGATTCGAGCACGGTGAAATTGAACAAGTGTTCTCTGCTATGAAGGCCAACTATGAAGCATGGGTCAACGGATTCGCTCCCCTATCCGTCGGAGCGGACGTTCCGGAGGCGGTCCGAGAATTTACCAGGACTCTGTTCAACATGAGGCCCGATATATCGCTATTCGTGTCTCAAACCGTGTTTAACAGCGATTTGAGAGGAATTCTAGGGTTGGTGAAGGTGCCGTGTTGTATTATGCAGACGACTAAAGACCTTTCGGTGCCGTCATCAGTGGCAACTTATATGAAGGAACAACTGGGTGATCGGAGCACGGTGCGGTGGTTGGAGACGGAGGGACACCTTCCTCATTTGAGCGCTCCCACCTACTTCGCTCGGCAGCTGGAGATAGCCCTTTCGCAGTAGCGCGTGGGCACAGAGGCGCGTGCTTTTAGTCGTTGCTTTTTCATAGCATAGGTACTGGTATGGAAGCTAGAGGTCCAGGAAGAAGTGGTGGCTAAAGGCTCCAAGGCTGGACACCTGGCGAATAATATGTGGGCTTTGCGACGAAGATGTGGAACTTTATCACCCTCGAAGGGATAAGGATTGACACGTGATCATCACATGATAAGTAGCTTCAGTAATTTATCTCCTGCGTTTTCTCGCGGGCTTTCTTCCTTCGCTTTTTCAAAATTAAGATTAGCTTTTAGTGTGTCCTGGCGGTTTGTAGTTGGTAGCATCTCTGATGGAGTTTATCTTAAATGGGGGCAGACAGCTGAAAAGCGGAGGAAATGATTTTATCTGTGTGATGCGACTTTTGTACGGCTATCTCAGTTTATATTTGTCCTGTCTTTTCCCCTGTAATGGATTGTGTTTCCGTTATCTATCACTTGTCAAACGACCCGGCAACATCACTGCACCAGCATTTATATTAAATATTCACTGTTTTTCTGACTTCCCTAGATTTTTTTACCTCGTTAATTTTCTTATCAGACTGTGAATTTATCTTATTTCCCAACGTTCCAATCGTATGTCTCGGTGGCCCCCATCCCAACCTAATGATGGGCCCTGGCCTTATGCAGCTTGTTAGTCCCTAGCTCGGGTCAATCGTATGCTGCGTTCCTCTCTCGGCTTTGGCAAGGAGAGGATATTTGTGTTTGCGCCTCTGGAAATATTTGAGTTTGATATTTAATGGGAAAAAGAGTGTCTTGAATCTGCAGTACCTATGATGAGTTGACCATATATCTTGAGATTCCGAATTAGTTGTTATAGAGATGGTGCGAAGGAGATAATCCGATTGCAGCGTCTACATCGAAATTTGATTTGTGTCTAAGCGATTAGATTCAATTTATGATCGATGTTGATATCATTTTCTTCCTCCAAATCTAGTGTCTACTCATGAAAAAATTCTAGCTGTTGTAACTTTCAAGGGAAAATTTTTTAAATAAATCGGATGCATCTTATTATTTATAATTTATTTAATTAAAATATTTTAAATTATCTAAATAAAAATTTACATGATATTATTGTGATTAATTTTATTTTTATAATAAAATGTATAGTTAATTATTATTTTTTTTCTATCTATTATCATTGATATCAAAATCAATTTACATTTAATATTATCTGAATGCCATATTTATATTAGATAGATTACACATCATGTGGTGTACTCAATCTACCAAAAAATTATTTAGCGTTGATGGATTTTAATTTTTTTTATTTTAGTGAAACATATTAAAAGTGACTTACAAATAAAATTTAGAAAGTATTTTGGCAAAGTTTTCTTTGGCAAATAGTGAAGGATTCACTTGCTAATGCTAATGTTGACAAGTGCAAAGCCACGGAGTAAATTTATTTATTAAGAAGTACTTAGATAGATTAGGTGCACCGTGTTATTTGTGGTCTATCTAATTAAAATACTCTAAATAATCTAAATAAAATATTGTGTGATTTTTTTTGAATTGATTTTATTTTTATAATAGAATACATATTTGATTTATTACCTTTCTTTTTTTACTATCATTACTATCATTGTCAATTGATATTTAATACCATATAAATGTTATATTTTTATTGGATATATTATAAATGATATGGTGCACTCAATTTATCTAATTATTTCTCTTAATCCTATCTAAAAATTTTAATAACTTTCCTACTTTGCCCTTGTTAAATTTATATATGTCAATAACATTTGTATTTCAAATCACAATATAAAGCACTTTTTAAAAACCCAAAACATAAAGTATTGTGGAGTTTTTATATATTTTATCAATTATATTCTTATTTTATTATATTCTACAAAAGTAATTAATGAGAATGTCTTAAATAAATCAAATATTATATTTATTTCACTAAATGATATGGTTGAAAACGTACGAAAATTCTTTAAAAATTAGGATTTTAACAGACCTTTTTTTTAAAAAATGTAAATTAGTTTAAAATGACTTATGTTATGGTTCAAAAATAATATTTTCATTCACCAACATTCAATGAAGAGTATGAGAAAAAACTTGCGCTAAAAATTTAATAATGTAACTTGTAAATATGATAAAAAAATTATTTGTTTTATAAATAAGGTTCAAAGAATATTTCATAATTCTTCACATAAAAAATATTTTTTGATACCGTCACGACACAGTACCATGGGGAGGAGAAGCAGGCCAATGCTATGCCATGTCTTCAAAACTAGTTTTTCCACTCAGATAACCATTCTTAAATCTTAAATCACTCTTTCGTCCTGCCTTTCACAAATAAAATGTGAAATAAGATGCTTAGCTGGACGAAAACGAATCGACCCTACTGGAATAAGCCAGGTTAACTTTAATCCCACCAATTAATGTGATCCGTCTCCTCAACATGCATGAACTAATCGGGGATTAATGAAATGACCAAAAGTAAAGCCTTTTTTGGGTGGGTATTGGATGCCTGTCCGACTTGTGATTTGGTCATAATATACGTAATCTTCCTCGATTAACCTGCACTTGCGCCTTAGTTTCGGCCAGCCCTCATATCACACTGGGCTTATCCACCGCTCGGCTTCAAACGCTGCCTCTAGTACATCATGAACTGGACCGATTAAACACTCCCTCTTGAGTTTCTTCTCTTCAGGCCTTTCCCTTTTTTACTTTTGTCACAAAAATAAAAAGAATTCCTTGCTTGGGTTTTCATTGGTCGCCACAGCCTACAGGCCCTACGCCTGCTTCTTCTGCTCATTTGATCCCTTATATTATATGAGCTGCAATTCACTAACTTCTGCTAGGCCGACAAAGAAAAGAAGGGGCCAATTGGCATATTCGAATGGGATAGGCCGCGGCCCAGGGGATATAATTAATTTATATTTATAACTATCTGATATGATATGTTTTTATTGAATAGAACATATATGACATAATGTGTTGAATCTAAGTAAGAATTTGTTTATCTCATACAAGAACTCAACCATTAAAAACCATGCTGGCAGGGGTGTATGTTTACTCATCCATACAGAAAAGTAACTCGCGCCAATCAATTTTATTTATCTATTAATTACTGCACTATTATTACCCAAAAAAAAAAAAAAAAAAACTACGGCCATTGGCTACTTTCTTGTTCAAAGCAATTGAATTGGAACCTTCAACTCAGCTTCCTAGAAAAAAGCTGTTATGCTTTCAATAAACATCTATAACAATGCTCTTAATACCTCGCTTTTCACGTCAGGCATAATCTAAGCATTTGAAATCAATGATGAGAAGTAGCAGTGAAGGTATTCGTGAATTCCGTTATGCAAAAGAATATTCACGCAGCACGAGTGGAGACCCATTTCCTTGTCCGGAAGCCATAGAGATATTCGATTAATTATCGAGAGTGATTGTAGTGCTACAGTTGCTATCTGATTAGGGAAACGGGAGTGGCTCCAGATAATGCCCAGTGACAAAGAAAGGCATTTAAGGCTCAAGAGAGTGAACGAAGAAAGCAGAGTTAAATAGTGCCAATTGGGAGCATAAAAAGATAGTCCACCAGACGCCAAGCAAGGGACCCAGAGCACCGGACAACCATCCTTGTCATGATGCGACCCAACGACTAACTGATAATCAATAACGGAATCTACTACACGTGTCAGATGAATACCCGCTTAACTGTTTCAGTCTCCTGCCAGAGGGGAAAAAAAATCAAAACTCCAATTCAAAGGAAACGCTTCATCACACTTTTCAAATGCAACACGTCCATTCCCGTCCAAATCCACATGCGCATTGTTGAACGTCACCACCTCAATTTCTTTGAAACCAAAACCACTAATCACTCTCCGCCGATCCTTCCGGCGCCTTCTTTTACTCATCCAGCATCTAACATTTTTTTTTTAAAATATGACTTCAATTCACTTTTCAAAATTTATAACGACGTTTTCTCACCACACGGGTCACCTTCAAGGTTAAAAATAAAAGAAATAGTACTGCTGGGCATATAACAAAGGTCAGGTGAAAAAACTAATAAAGAAGGGATTTCGATAGCAAGTTAGCAACGCTTTTAATTCTGTAAGATAAAAAAACCTAGACTAGTAATCTTAAAAAAAAAAAAACTTGCTATCTCGGAATACGATTTTTTGCCATGGCCCTTGGCCAACAATCTCATCTAATTAAGTTCTAGCACTAATTTACAAACATTTCTCCGTTGGAAAGATATTTACAATATTCCTCTGTTCGTGGTTTTTTTTTTTTTTTTTGGGTAGGGGGAATGTTGTCCAACAAAGTCACAGGGCTGGGCAGGACATGATGGAGGGTGGGAGATTTATGCCGACACTTCTGAGGTGCGGGCAGCGACGTTGCCGGATCTCGGTTGCCGTAGAAGTTCTATAAGTGTCTCCGCCTGTTCACATTTCCTCAAACAATTAGCGACAGGAAATGAATGCTATCATTTTTAAAAGCAGAAAGAGAAACAAATTTATATAAAGACTGCAAGGTCTATACTCTACGCCTTGACATGAGCCAAGTCCTAAACTATTGCTTCCCAAAATCAACCAGTGCTCCTGCAGATGGACTAGTTTTTAATGCAATGACAATAATGAAAAGGCCATTCTTATCAAGATGTTGTATTTCTCTGCTATTTATTAGGAGCTAGCAATCTAATGAAAGTTTAATTTTCAAGAGGAAATGTGGAGCCTGCAAGGAATTGAAGTGGCAGAAGATGATGCTCCAATTAACTGGATTTCATATTGTATAATTTTTTATGCGAAAAAAATTGGTCTGCCACGTCAGTGACAGGTCAAGCAGAGAATGAGGGCAGAGGGTGATGCTGATGGGTTCCGTTTGTGGTTCTCACCTTCTGTTTGGCCCGATTGGTGCCGGACTGGGACAATGCAACCAAGGGAGGAATGGCCCCTTCTCGAGCAACCATTGTACGATAAGCCACGCTGTCCTCGCAAATCTGCAACAATATCACCACTGCGGTTTCTTTCTGTCTCTGCGAACCAACCTCTATTATCTCCACCAGCACCGGAATCCCCCCTTCCTCCACTAATGCCGTCCTCGCCTCTGGCACAGATACCAATACGCTCAACACGTACGCTGACTTGTCTACCATGTTTGATCCGAAATCGGCCATCAATTCAACCAGCGCTCTCATGATTCCTGCCTGTACTGCTCTTATCTTGTTCTCCTTCACCGAACACAGCGAATACAGCGCCGTCGATGCGTCTTTCTTACCTCTGAACCCCCCGTTCTCCAGAAGATTCACTAGCGGTCGAATGGCCCCTGACCTTCCAATCACGATCTTATTCTCCTCTATTTGCGACAGACGAAGTAAAGCGCAAGCCGCGTTCTCTCTAGCCGTTGATGTTCCCGTCTTGAGAGCTCGAACCAGTGGCTTGATCGCTCCCGATGAAGCTATCAGGTCTTTGTTCTCGTCGCACAAGGAAAGATTCAGAATCGCCGTGACGCCGTACTCTTGGAGCTGAAGGTCAGGGGAAGATATAAGCGAGATTAAGGGCTTAATTGCGCCGGCTTCGGCGATTTTGAGGCGATTTTCTGATTTATTCTTGGCGAGTAATCTGATCTCCAGGGCGGCCTGCTTCTGCTCGTCAATAGAAGTGGAATGGAGGTCGGAGACAAGCTGGCGAATAAAATCATCGGAATTCTCAGAAGCGCAGGCAATAAGAAGACGGCGGCTCTGGGAAGAAGCAGTGGGGAATTCACCAGATCTATCGCTGTTACAGTCGCTGAAAGCAGAGGAAGAATTGTCGTTGATACTCAATTCGCTGAGAGAGCGTCCCATAAAGGTGTAATTAGGCGGATTCTCCGTTCCCATGGCGATGGTGGGGGATCAGAAAGTCAAATCGCGGTAAGCTGCGTTGCGTTGTGAGGTGCGGAGGTTAGGTTGTGGTTTAGGCAAGATTCGAGTGTCAGACAGAAAAAGAAAGGAAGAGAGGGAGAGAGAAGAGGCGTTGTGATGAGAATTGGAGGAACACAATGAACATAATTTGCTTGCTTCGAGGTGGGGTGGAGTGACACGTGCACGTATTGAATATTGACCGGAGCAAAAGCCAAGCACGTGCGACGGCTCTCTTTAAACGCGTGCATGGAAGGATCGTCATTCGATGAGGAGCCAGTTTTGGAGTCCCTCGCAGCCTCAGAATTTTGATTTTACCTGGTGTTGGTGGTTACCCAGGGACAGGGAAAATGATTCGATACTGTGGCGGGGAGCATCTGGGTCACACTTACGCCTCGTATTTCATGCCACGTGGAATTATTAGGTTTCACATTTGGCCACATGCTTCCATCAATCATGGGACTCGGTACAGGTCATGCCACGCCCTTTGGGGGATCATCATAAAAGCTTGCCCAATTTTTATTTCTTTGTTTTTTTTTTTTTTGGGTGGTGGCGCAAATAAATTATCAACGCAAGTCAAGAAATTTCCCAATTTTCTTTCAACGACTGGATCTCCCACCAAATGATCATAAACTTTTGTTTCCCTTTCATCATGGAATAATTGAGCCTACTAATATTAATTGGATCTTCAAAACATTCAGTAGATCCTAGATTCAATCCTGCTTATATATAATGTTTACTCTTAAACTGATTTTTTTCCCCACCAGAATCATTGATTTGCATGCGGCCAACGATATTGCATTCAGTAATGGACTGTTCCTGTGAAATACAAGCTCTCAATAATGAGAAACGGGACCGGAGAAACACGGGCAAGCGAAATCATTTTGAAGCCAATATATTACTTATAATTTATAATTATTTTCCAACTCTGGCCAACATTAAAAGAACTCTACCGATCGCTTATTACTTGTTACTATAACAAGGTGTCAATTTTTCCAGGTGCCGCTGTTCAAGAGGCACAGAGGCACACCATCTCTTAGTCTACTGTGCTGTACGAAGAATGATCACCAAAAAATAATAATAGAATGATCGACCGTCTGGCCAAGTATGCCCATTCCAAGCTCGGTGTATATATTGCAAAATTGTCGGCATTAACACTGGCTGGAAAAAACGATCGAAACTCTGTTGTTCATCATATTGCGACAAGTGAAACGATCATTAATTTCAGTTGAGTGTCAATCAAGGATTCAAATTTACAAGTTTAAATAAATTCATAACCGGAATGTAAAATTAAACTGCAAATTTAAATAATAAATTTATAAAAGTTTACTTTTATTAATAAATAGCCATTAAAAATTATTATTAAATAATTTAAATATAAAATATGACTGTAATTTGATTTAAATATATTTAAAATATAAATCATTAAAATTAAATACATTTATATTAATAAATTATCATATAAAATATATAAATTTTTAAATAGAAAGCTTATTTTTAGTATCTTTTGTTTTTTTCTTAATATTAGCTTTTATTTTTTAAACTTTTTTCTTTAAATTAGGTTTTATAACTTGTATGAATCAAATTCTTTGTTGTATATACTTAACTCACTCAACTTGAAAAAAAAAATCAACTAGCTTATATTTAATTTGAATTTATAAATTAATTGACATGATTTTATAAACTAAAAATATAAAAGTGACAAACTCAAAAGTAAACTTGTCAGTTTAACTACATTTATATTTAATTTAAATTTATAAATGAATTGAAATCATTTTATAAGTTAAAAATGTGAATATATTAAATTTGAAAAATCAATTCAAAAAATTGACAACTATGGTGTCAATAATGTTGTTGAATATATGCAACACTGCAATTACTTGAGAGAATCCCACGCCATAATAGCATGTGTTTCCCCATCATACGCTCCAATTCAACCTTTCCAGCATATATTTTAAATTTATGAGTAGTAGTTGTTCAATTCGATTCTGGCATGCATGCTGCCAGGACTGTTTAATTTTGTGATACAAAAAGATTGAAAGAGCAAGTACGGAAAAAAATTGCTCCCACCGATTGCGGGGGAGGTTTATGATAAAATTATTAGAGCGGGCGTGAAAATACGGGATCACTAAATGTGTTTTGCTTAGTTTCCTCTCCTTTGTTTTGGCCACGTGTTTTACTAAGTTTCTAAAGAACTTTCATTATTCAGATACTAGGAGAGAAAACAACACGGGCAAACACAAATTATATATGGAGATTAGTTATATTAAAAAATTATTTTTATAGAAGATTATTTAACACATAACAGCAAGCTCTCGTAGCTCAGTTGGTTAGAGCACCCGTTTAGTAAGCGGGAGGCATTGAGTTCAACTCTCAACGAGAGCAATCCCGACAACTGTCTTTCTCTCTCTGCTTCGTTTTTCGAGTGAATAACTACTCCCCTTGCCCGGCACCTAACGACATGAGGCCTAACTATCCTTCCCGTTTTCCTCTTCGGTTTTTTTTTTTTTTTGTTTGTTTGTTGGGAGCCCAGACGTTACCGACCACACTTCCCGTTTCTCTACTCCGTTATTCCTATTTAACCAACTGGCTTCAAGTTTTCTCCAAGATATTTTCATTCAATTTAAAATACTTAATTTATTTTTTCCATATTATTTTTTATCTTACAAGTTTCAACTTTCAAGGTGCAATCCATCTTATTTCCCTTTTTTTTTTTTTTGCCTGTTCCTGGTCAGCAGAAATGGGATGGCGTTGCAACTCAAAATGGTTCCTCGATGAAGCAAATGGGATGTGTGAACTTGTACTGAACATGCTGCCTCAAGCTCAACTACCACAAACAAAATCCTGTACACAGCAGACCAAGGAAACGAAAAAATGGGCATAAAGTGCATTGTATCTACATAAATACAAAACACCCCCCCCCCAAAAAAATAAAAAAAACACCCTTTCCCTCCACCTGCTTTCTCTCAACTATAATATGAATCAGGAACGACGCAATTAATCAACGCGTATTTGCGTTCTTCAGAGGGAGATGTGCCTTCAGCGAGGACTCTGCTTAATGATAAATCTTTAATATGAACAATAAAAGGACACCGATCATATCCACTCGAAGTTTGTTTCTTTCGGCAAAACCAAACCAATGAGGCAATCAGATGGATCTGATGCAACAGACAGCATACAGCATGTTTCAGGCGTGTGAGGGAGTATAAAAAGAAGCCTCGCCCATATGGATTTCGAAGCTGGTATTTTAATGACTCCCGCACAATCCCTCTGCTTTAGGTAAGATACAAAATCCTGAAACTGATCAGCAGATATAAAGTCAAGAGATTGCAACTCTAATCCAGAATTGAAGTAATTCCAACTATCAATTAGGTGCATAGAACATGAGAAAACATACCCCTTTGTAGTCACTTGCAGATGATGGGATTAAACGACAAACTTCCCTCTGAAACAAACATCAAGATCATAAAGTCAAAAAGCTTAAGGTAGTGAGAGAGCAAATACAGGTGTGGTGGGTCAGGGAAATGGCAAAATGGGAACACCAGAGCAAATACAATTGTTTTTGCTTGTCATTTACCCGTCTTTGTACTCCGATTACACATCACATAAGCTTTCAACAAACAGATAGCAAGACATATGGCCGAAGGAAGCAGATAAAAAATAATAGATATGATTTATGGGGCCAAGGCGTGCACAGTGTGATGGTTTTATGAATATATGAAAGAGCAATACATAAACCTGAGAATGAAGTTTTAAATGCATATGTACTTCAATAGCCAGGAATTAAACATAAAACAACATTACAAAGATAAGCATGAGCTAACTGCTAGCAGTTAACCTCTTTCCTTTCCGTTATCAAGGCTTTGCCTTCCTTTGTATTCAACCAAAATTAAAAAAAAAAAAAGAGGGGTCACAGCCAAAGGATACTTAACAACTCACCCTGTGTTGTGGAGTACCAGCAAATGTTGATTTTACATGTCGAAAATCTGTGCGTTTAGTCATGTCTAATTTTGCAGGCCATCTACACCACAGAAGCATCAATTTCAGCTCATATTCTGAACCAAAGATTAGCCAGATCAATAAGGAAGTCAAAGATGTAATCTTACTCAGATGGCTCAGGATTGGCATTTGAATATCTGCAGATATTTGAATCTGCTCTGCATGCATATATCGTACAGTAGTTAACCCCACTTTTACAAAGCACTCCCTGCCATTGATATTGCAGAGACTGTCCTGAACTTTCAGCATTGGGAAATTCCTGAACAGGCAGTGGCGGAGGTGGGGGTGGAGGAGGAGAACCAGGTGGTGGAGGAACCAAGGGAGGTTGAGTTTGGGGCAGAGGCGGAGGAGATGGAGGTGGGGGTGGGGGTGGCAGTGATGATGAAGGCAGTGGTACAATTGGTGGGGGGATCAGCTGGTTATAAGGAGCAACTGAAGTTCCCTGTATCTGAGCAAGTGGAGTGACTGAAGCAGGTATGAAAGGAGTTACGACAGCATTACCATGAAAATTATTTGGCAACGATCCTGTCTTGTATCGGTCAGCAGGTAAATGATTATTGAATCCCCGGGCATCCCATGGACCATTTGGAGGGACATAAACAGGGCGAATGAAAGGAGACGACTGAATTTGCTGTGGTGGTGGAATAGAGGGCCCATGTTTTGCAGAGAGCATGTGTGGAACATTGCCTGGTGCAGGACAAACTCAGTTCCAGATTTCACAATAGAAAAACATTATTCAGTGCATAAAAACAATACATACCTCAGTTAAGTATTCCAATAATATGTAGTTCCTTCAGAATTGTGGTACTCAATGGCATTCAAATGATAATAAGTAAACAAACAAACAAATAAATACATAGGAAGAAGTTTCATAATATGTTACCTCCTTGATGAGGATCAGGAGGTAAGTTGTCATAACCATCAGGCTTCCTTGTCATTTCTCTCGAAGAAGAGAAGTTCCAGTTTGACTGAAACACAGGTGCAGCACATACACCACTACCCTGATTCTCTGACTTTAGCTCCAAAGAGTTGTTTTCAGGTTTAGTCGAAAATGGTGCAGCATTCTGAATCCCATGTTGACTGTACAAGAATGGGAGAACAGTAACTATACAAAGCAGGGAGTAGGAAGTTGTTGATGATTGAAAAGCTATGATTAGTGTAAATATATGCAAAGGGAGATGTGGCTCTTCAATGGCCACTAACACATCTACGTTATAAGTATAATGTATACATACATATCTAACTCTATCTCAGTGTAAATATATAAAAGATAATTTTCGTTGTTTCCAGAAGCTACAGTGAGGATATACCATCCTTTAATTCAAACGTGATAGAAATTTTTATTTCCCAATATATATTCTGTGAAATTATCCTGAAGACTCGATAAAAACCTTAGAACTACAGGAAGTAAGAACCATCGGCCACATCACAAAATGCAAGGTCAATTGACAGTTGCATGAAACAAATTATTTTACAACATTTGGCAACTTTTACTGAATGTGTGCATCAAAAGCTATTGCTGGATAAATTATAATTGTATAGATCATGTCCACCGAGTTCCCACATTGAATGAAATTAACTTTACTTATTTAAGGGATGATTCTTAAAATTATCATCTGATAAATCCTTTTTTACATCATATATGGTTGTAACTTGAGAAAGTAAGACTACTCCCTATTGCACAACTATCAAGGCATCCATTAATTTCATTAATATTGTATTTTGCTTGCCATGATACTAGTAAGGAAGACAAGTAAAACAACCTCATTTGACTACTATCAGCAGGGCTCCCAGCCAACGTTCGAGAATGAGGAGATCCAGCAATACCATTTGACATGTTTATTGGGATGCTGGCTTTAAGGTCAAGATGGGGAGGGTTGGCCACATGTCTTGCACCATCCATATTTGTAGTTCCAATTGCAGCAAAACCTGGCCTTGGGCCAAAAGGTTGGTAGTGATTGCTTCTTTCCCTTCGGAATTGTCTCAGATGCAACATCACTGAGGCAGCCTCTTCAGGAGCTTCAAATTCCATGAGCAATGCCCTCTCTTGGCTAAGATCAGTAACCATAAGGGGACCTTTATGGATGACTTTCCTTGTTTCATGTAGGATTTCATCCTTGACCCACTGACTGGAAACACTTCCAATATAGGTTAGTGAACTAGCACCAACTGCAACACCATTCATAGAACCTCTAGTTCCGAATCCTATATCCATGAATTTAACTCGGCAAGGAAAACTTCCAGGCAAATAGTCACGAGCTTTTATGGCATCAATGATGTTTTGGTATTCAACCAAGGCAAACCCTTTTATAGGAAAGAAAAAGAATTGTTCAATTGGACCAAACCTCTCAAGTTGAAACCTAATATGATTTTCAGACATGTCAAGACCTGCATAACCTACCCAGAGCTGTTTTGAAGCAGAGATAATATCCATAGATGCAGGATCCCCATCACAACACCATACAGTTTGACTTTTTGTGGAAGCAACAGGACACAGGAAATGCTTAGGAGATGGCTGAATATTACAAACACCTCCGCTAGAAGATCTCAATGGAGGTAAATTGAAATCCATATTCGAAACCTGACTTTTCTCAAAATTTGGGGCATCAATTCTTCCTTCAAAAGCATTGCTCCTAAATTCTGCTGATGGTCTTATTGCAGGTGAGGGTATCTGATTGCTTACTGAGTCCCAAAGCACAGAACATCTAACTTGGGCCATATCTCCTTGCGTCCCTGTCTCAAGGCACATGAGCCTTGGGACTCCATTATCAGAATGAGGGCCCACTTTTGTCATGGATTCAGAGCCAATATTTTCCGCAGAGCTATTAACTTTTGCATATTTATCTGAAACCTTATCTGTAAATCCATCATCAGATGAACTAACATGAACTCTTAAATTGCTACCTTTTCTAGATGATTCACCAATGCTTTCATGTTCCTCAGAGATCTTAGGCACTGCATGATCCATACTGGTGCAAATCACAGAATCGGATTTATCTTCATCACTGTCTGGTAAACAATCACCCATACATGTTTCTTGCCCAAGAATAGCAAAGATTCCCTCTAGTGCTGATGTAATCTCCAATGAAGCATTACTGAGTGAGTTAGACAACTTCTTACACCTAGACAATACCCACCTCCTCAATGAGGGATCCTTGTCTAAAACCTGCGTAGAGCAGACCCAGCGAAAAGGGCTGAGTGGTGAGGGAAAATGATGACTAAAGAAAAATCAAACAAAAGCACCAAGTAAGAATGAACTCCGTGCTTAAACAGAAATCAAAAGGGACTGATACAGGCTCATTCATGTCTCGTACAATATAAATAGAAAAATCAAAAAAAGCACTGCTCTATGTGATTTTAATGGTGAAAATATAAAAAAAAAAATGAAGTTATTTTGAAGAAAAGAAAAAAGTAGAGGAACAGTGCCCAGTCGCATGTTACAGCAGCTTCAAGACCAGGACCAGAGAGTTGACACATATCACTAACTTGTCTGCGATGTGCGACTCCTGTCTTTCCAAAGGCAGGGACACCACAAAGCAGTGTAATCAAGCCAACTCCAAGCTTTAAGTGTTGACTTTGCTCAACTCGATTATACTACTACAAGCTAAACTCTATTAAATCTGAGCTCAGAACATAGCAATATCTAATTGTCTAAATGCAATTCCTCAGCAGGAAATTGGGAAATGTGCATTAAGCCAAGCATAACCTATCTAGCAGCCAAATTAATGTCAAGGAAGATCAATAACCTAAAGGCACGCAAGTGATTGCAGCACAAATCTTGTTGAGAAGTATCAAAACTATAAAATATATTCCACCACTAAAACACTACAGTTCATTGAAAAATAAATTGCATGATATCTATGCAGAAAGACAACAATGGGGAGGAACTACCAGTGTGAGCAAGCAGCTATTTTGAGCAGATGCGCTGCCCTCTGAAACATGACAGTTATCAGCTGAAAGTTCTTCTGCCACATCATTGCCTCCAATGCTTGTTCCAGTAGAACCTGTACACGATTCAGGTACACCATTTGCTCTATCCAAAAGGTTAGCCACATCATCTTTAAGCCTACTAGTCACCTGGCTTAGAAAATACTTCCCTCCTTTAGAAGCTCCCTCAATTGCATCAGAGCCTAAAGGCTCCAAACAAGCTGCAAGAAAATATTTTGGACAGGAGAAGAATATCTGAACCACAGATAATGCACAGAGCTTGGACAGTTTAGCCAACAATGGCTCATCTTGATCAAAAATCTTTTGCTTCAACTCAGAAAAGACCTCTGGAGAATCTTGCATCCTCAGGAAATTCTTATCAACCATACTAAAGATATACTTTTCACCAGCTAAGGCAGCAAAAAAGGCTAGCACATTTTGAAAAACTGCAGAGCATATTCCCCTAATTACAGATGATGTTGGAGTCACTGAAGAAGCAGCACAACAAATATCAACCAGACCCAAAATACAGGCTTTAGCAATTTCAAATGCAATACCATCATAATCTTCCCCTCCCTTGATCAATGCCAAACTCCAATTATGCATATTAATAACACCTTTAGCAGCAGCTTCCAAGGCAGTTGGACAGTGGCATGCATATCGAGGAATAAAATCAGCCACAATTCTTTGTACACTCATACAACCTGTCACAATAACAAAGTTCTACTTCCATTAAAAAGACACTTCATAGTGGAAGTTTGTGAATCATTCTTTTCAATTACTGGAAATCAAACACTAGATTTAATAATAAAACAGTACTGCAATAGAATATGGCTGTGGAGCAAGAATGTGGAAACCTAAAGCCTCCTGAGCATTCGGCTACCAACTTAACTTTGCATAAGAAAAAAAAGGACACCCGAAAATGAGAGATATCATACAAGCATAAAAGAAGCATACTATTGTTGTATACGGGGCAGCTGAATAATGAACATAGATGTGATTTGTCATCATCGTTTCTCCGTTTAATGGCTTGAAGTGATATGACACTGACCAAAGTAATAAAGCTCTGGACTCTATACAATTACTAGCAATCTATATAGAACTTTTAGAGCAGTCAATTTAATGTGGATAACAGCAACCCGACCAAATTCTAACACTTCCAAAGGATGAGCAGAGGGATAATATTTCAGTAGAAATCTCGGCATCAATCCTCTTCTGGAGAATCATATTTTAATGACCAGCAGATGCGTTATTATATCCTGATTGTCACGTGAATGAAATGAAAAAAAAAAATATTGAGCTCAATGCATAGAAATATCACAAAAGTAAAGGTGCTGACCTCTTGAAGCAGAAATGAGAGAGAGATAACTCTGTTCAAGGTCAGACGTGAAGGCGCCATCTTTTTTAGACAAGCAGAATCTAATCCGCTTGTAGCATTCGTAAACATTCCGAATTTCATCTTTGTTCCTACGCTTGATATCAATCTGCTCCTGAGACAATGGAGGAGTTGCCGGCGGAGGTACAGAGGAGTGGGGCGGCGTTAGGGTTTTGGGAGAGGGTGAGTCTAGAGTTATTGGTTCCGTACTTGGCGGTGGCGAAGGTGGAGATTCTGGTAGAGGCTCGTATAGCTTACGCTTCTTCGGAGGCTGCTCAGCCGTGGCCATGGCCAGCGGCGATTCTCAGACAGTTCGCGCTCCGTGCCGTGTTTTGTTTAAGGAGAAGGGGGGGACACTTTAAGGCCGGTGCGGACGTGTTGGACAAAGAGAGTTGGAAGAACGATGATGTTTGAAATTATTTTTATTTTATTATTTTATAAATTAATATTTTATAAAATATATTTTAAAAATAAATAAATTAAGGGTTAATTTATTATTAAGAGTTAATTTATTTATTTATTTTTAAAATAATAATTTTAGAATACTTAAAAGTTATTGGTATTTTTTTATTTTTTAAAATAATATTTTATTTTTTATTTTTTAAAATACTTTTTAAAAAACATTATTAAATAAATTTTTTTATTTTTTTATTTTGAAGAATAGAAAATTATTTTCAGAATAAATTTTCAAACAAGTCTGATGAATTTATTGTTTTTCAAATAATAAGAAGAATGTATTATTTTATTGAGAAATTAAATAAAGTTTAACTTAATTTTTTATTTTAGCAGTAATATATTTATTTTTATGTTATTAACAAAACTCTAAACAAGTGTAATTTTAAAATTAAGATTGGAGGGTTGGTTAAAGATTGGAGGACAACAAATTAAAGCTTCTTTTACTTGTCATTAAATACTAATTAATTAATACATATTCTGAACATGATGAACAGGAATCAAATTTAAAATTTGGAGATTGGAGAGTTGCAAGTTTTTCATGCACGTACATAAATGAATGGCACAGAATATGGGGGAAAAAAGGCCAGAAGAAAATAATCACCCTCGATAAAAAGGAGATACCTTTTGGTTGAGTTTACTCTTGTACAAAATTGGAAATTAAATCCCTTATTATCACTTGCTTAAAAACAATAATTCTATTATTTATTTATACTTATAACTACAATGTATGAAACTGATGGCTCGGTTTCTAATTCTGGCGTTGGCGCTGGAGGAAGTATCACTGGATCTGCATAGGAAAATTGGGAGTTGGAAGCTATCGTGCATTGTGAACCCCTTCCTCCAACCATCACAGGACTGAAAAGCTCAATTCATGGACTTCATTATCGTTGGCGTAGAGGATGTAAAAAATATGGTTGTCAAATCTGGTTGTGCCATTGCTGTTGGTTTAATCATAAGGGATAATTCATAGGCTCATGGATGGGATATCATTCAGGAAGCTAAAATGCTTAGGGGCAGAAATTGGAATGTTACTTTAGTTTTTGTTCACAGAGATCATTATTATTAGGGGCTGATTGTCTCACTAAATTTGGTCATAGCCTTGTATCCAGGTGCTGCACCTTTAACCATCCTCCTTCTTGGCTAAACGAGGAGGAGCGAGGTGAAAGAAGTAGCTGTCTTGCTCCATCTATCTTGTAATCTCCCATGATTATATCAGTTTTTAATCCAAAAAAAACGGTCTCTTTATTTTGCCACCAATAATTCTTCAACATCAAAATTATGCGAGCCTCCAATAAATCCACTAGCTTGACAATTTAGAGCTCACATGATCCGCTGATAAAAAATTTAAAAAGCATTAAATGTTTTCAAAGTCCACCACCAAATCTGAATATTAAGTAGAAAGCTCATCCCCCCACACCCATTCACTTTTTTTTTTTTTAATCCAAACAAGATCCGAATGGACTTTTAACATCTTGTACGATTATCCTTATTAATCCGACACTACCATAATCATCAAAGTAATCATTGGATATACTCCAAATGGGTTACCTAATCATGGTTAAGCACCTTCAAGCTATTTACCAAATTCGAACATATTTATTTTTAAAATTAGAATCCTAAATTTTCATAATTTTAAGATGCTTAAATATGGTTTCAACAAGTTCAAATGATAATATAAATAAATACGGAAGCATGAATATTATCTACAACTTTAAATTACTGAAAATAATCGGAAAACCAGCAAGGTTTAAAATTTGGACTATCCATAATAGTTCTAATTAATTAATTTATAAAAATTCTAAAGACTTTTAATATTAAATTGGATCATTGGTATTAAATTTATATTATTCATGTTGATGATAAAATAAATTTAGTAAAAATTTTATAATTTTGATTTTAGTAAATATAAAATTAAATCAGTGAATGTGGATGCCCCGAATTGCTCATTATTACATGTGATAAGCATCGAGGCCAGACCCTCTAGTTGTCCCCGATACTATAGCTACTTTATTGTCAATAAAATGTTTTCCCGGCGGAATATTATTGGTGCTTCTTGATAAGAGAAAGATTAGTCTCCATGCACGCGTCTTGAAAAGCCAATAGCACGCATAACACAAAACTAATAACTTAGCTTCCAGCACCTCGCAGACGCTGGGACACTCTTTTCTTTTCACCCTCCTTTGGCATCACGAGGAATGAATCATAACTCGTGAAGCTCCTCCCTCCCAGAAGAAAAAAAATCGAGAGCTTTAATAAAAATGCTGTGCTCATTAATAAATTAAAACGGAATAATTTTTACATGAGCTGAGATATGAAGAAAATGGAAATGGGAGCAGAGGAAGGAACCAGAACTTGTTTAAGGTTACGGCAAAATATTCCACTAGATGATACTTGGCATGGCAAAATACCAGGAAAAGAATTTTTTAAAAAAATATCTATCGATATATATATATATATATATATACATACATATATACAAAGACGTCACCCTCGTGACCTGAAACTTATAAATTAGAAAGACTTAGGCAATTTTGGAATCCACAGCCTATTCTCAGCACAGCAACTCCGCCAGGGATGTGACACGTGGACTGGAGCATGCGGTGTTGCTGAAGAAATCAAACGAGAAAAGTGGTATACTACTCCTATCCTCCGAACCAACCTTGCGATGAATTCCATCCTGCCCGTTAATTTCTCTATTTGTGGATTCCATGAAACGAAGAATAGGATGATAAGAGTCTGGTGTCTGCTGGCCTAGCTTGATGGTAAATGGGCATTAGTTGCCCTCATTTCTTTAAATGCCTTTGAAATGGTCAACTCCTCTCTCTCGATGAAATAAAATGGCAAACCCCACCCACCACGTCCCCATATTCTCATTCCATTCGCCAGAATCTTGAAACACCCCCTCCCCCTTCAAATAGTTGTGAAAACAACACATTACATTGACACAGTCCGATTACATCCATTACTCGCCATAAGTTTATATACAGGGTAAAACTTGTCTATCTAACTTTATATATTTAAAATGCTTATTTTTAATTAAATTAATACATATATATCATTTATAAGTTATTTATTCTATTAGAAATTTGTTATTGATATTGTTGATATATAATAAAATACACTTATTTTTATTTAATTAGATATAACTACATTAAACATATAAAGTTAAGTACATGAATCTTATTCTTATATATATATATATATATATATATAATAGAAAGTTTACATGAGTTACATTCCAAAAACTCATCAAGGTTATGACATAATTTGAAAATCAAAGACCACTTATAGATACATTTATAAATTATATATTAATAAAGTCCTGATTAAAAATGAAATTTGATCTTATGATTTTGTAGGGTGTAATCAAATCTACACCAATTAGGGCAATTTTTATTGATTACTTGGTACAAGTTACGACCACTGCCAGCCCTCCTCTCACACACGTTCAAGGCACAACCGCTACATTCAACTTACTCGGGGAGAAGAGAAGGTTATTCGGGATAAAAGGTGGTGAGGAGGCTATAATCATTTTTTGGGTTTTTATTCGAGTCCTTTTATCCGCCCAACCAAATGCACACCATATATTTCTTGATGTTCACCAAAATTCCGTATTACAAAAAAACTGGAGCCTCAATAAAAAACGCCAAGTTTCAACTACAGATCACAAACAAACCAGTCAATCTAAACGAATTAACACAAGTAATCGATTTCCCCTCGTATTAAAAAAAATAAAATAAAAATTAACACATTGAAGCTTCTTATACCGATCAAACAATTATGGAATAACACTGTAGTAAATTTTAACGTCGTCTTATCAAATCACTCTTTAATTTAAATGCTCTCCGTGATATTACATTGGAGAAGGATAAAATAGCACGAAAGATACTGAACACTTCATTGAGTTTTCAAAATGACAAATATTTTGTAAAAATTACAAAAAACGTCCCGAAGGACAAATTTTATCCATTGGAAGTAGCAATTAATGAAGCACGAAAAAAATTCTGGTAAGAAAAACAGCTGCAAAATTTCCTGTTACACGGAATTATCTACAATTATTTAAATAATAAACCGCGGATATTGACTCTAGGGAATATCAGGTAAAAAAAAAAAGGAATATATACGATGTTCGCGTCTCGTTAAAGGAGACGCAGAATCGGATGTTGGGCACTCAATAACAAGAAAAGCGGCAATCAATCCGAGTTCCCGATTAAGCGATGACTTCATTTCACGCACTGAATAACTCTCTCATGTCCTGCGCGCGTGTCTTCACGCCTCACCTCTCTGTGAATTGAGTTTATTTGATTAGATCTCCATGCTCGACGTCTGATTGGGCACTACACACGCTAGCCGTGCTTTGATATTGTTTTTTAAAATGGCGGGTTCGATCAATTTGATGACATGGCTGGTGATAGTTGGATAATTAAAATCACGTGATTAAGCTCGCTATCCTCGACTTAGTATTCCTATCATCATCATCATCATCATTTTTCAACATGGCAGCTTCATCAAACACCTATAAAACATGTATACACACGTGCTCTATCATAAGGTAACAAATAAAGCAATGCCTGACCCCGTCAAGCTCATACTGTCATACAGCATGCATGCCAAATGTGTGCGTCCCTGCGTGTGCTATGGCAAAAGGACACTATCAAGCACGGTAAGCACAGCGTTTTTAAAGGAACAAAATAGAAAGCGTAATCAGAACATCACCTATGGACACCCGATCCATCCATCATTAAACTCGTGCGCCTTACATATAAATTAAATTTGCACAGTGCCAATGCTTAATTAAATCAAAATGGATCCCATCGATCAGGGCTATTGAAAGGAACGCGAAGCAGATTGGGCTTTCTTTTATTAAATCCACTGAGGATAAGATTTCCCCTACGCCTTCAGGTATCCGTCATGGTGGAGTTCCTCATAGGAAAACATGAGGTTTGGTGCTCATCATGTTAGCAGCCAAGATAGCAACAGGCAAAATAAAAAATAAAAAATAGTAGCGAGACTTTTGTTTTGGTTGGGGGGAGTCGTACATATGCAATTGGTTTAATCTGTTAGAAAAGGACGTGGAAAGAGATATAATAAAGGATGATGATACGGGCTCATATGCTGATAAATGAAAGCATTAGCAGGGAAGATGAATTTGGTCCACTTGGGATGCCCAAATATTAAAATGAAATGCCCCCCACCACGACCCATCCACTACACACCACTGGATGGATGACACACTTGAAACTAATCAAAAATTAAATTTGCCACAGCTAGACGAAAACTCTGTCCACTCCCATGTGATTCCGCACCCTGGTTTTACTCCCCCTTTTCCTACCTCCTTCCTAACTTTGCCGCTCCTCTCCACTTTCCGCCTTCATCATCACTTCACTCCTTGGCTATTCATTTCCCTGCTTGCTGCACCTGTCCTCGTGATCAACATGCTTATTCAAATTTATAATGCCCCCAATTAAAACCACAACTCTCAACCAATTATAGACAACGCGATCAGCAGGCTTTTATTTCGATATTGACTTGGAAGTGTGGAAACGTAGTGTCTGGAGTCTGGAGTCAGAGCTCAATTGGTCGTCGCGCTCTCACTTTCCCCACCAAACAAAAAAGAAGGGCAAGCCAAGTCCCACGAATAGAGTGACACTTTGTTTGACCCACTCAAAGTCGCTCCTGCCAACCCAGAATAACTCTCCTTCCCCGCACACGCTAACATCCTATTCTCCGTCATCTCTATAATCCTCACAATTAAATAATGATATTTACAATTATGTGCCTTGCACCCCTCGCTCACTTTCCCACCACTTGTCACGCAACTTCCCTTCCAGTTCTTGATTCTCACTTCCTTATAAGCCCACCATTCCGCCCTCACTCTCACTCCAACTCTCCTATATACATCCTTCGCCACTGTCTTCAACACCATCCACCCCTGTCCCCAATTCTCTCCTCCTCTCTCTCTCTTTCACCAGTTCCATCTTCAATTACCACTTCAGAAACACATGGCCCTGGAAGCTATGAAGTCGCCCGCTGCCGCCACCCCGACCTTCCCCTTCCAAGCCTCCGACCTCCACCGATTGGAGCCCTGTCCCTTGGCCAAGCGAAAGCGTTCCAGGCGTAACCGCCTCGACCACCCGCCCTGCACCGAGGAGGAGTACCTCGCTCTCTGCCTCATCATGCTCGCTCGCGACTCCGCCGGTTCTGCCGCCTCGTACGACCGCCACGCCTCGCCGACTCCCAAGCTCACTTACAAGTGTTCCGTCTGCAACAAAGCCTTCCCCTCTTACCAGGCTCTCGGCGGACACAAGGCCAGTCATCGAAAACTCGCCGGTGAAGATCACAACCCTTCTTCCAATGTCACCGGCACTGCTTCTGCCACCACCTCTGCATCCAGCGCTGGAGGCAGGCTCCACGAGTGCTCCATCTGCCACAAGTCCTTCCCCACCGGACAGGCCCTGGGCGGGCACAAGCGCTGCCACTACGAGGGCGGCGCTAGCAGTGCTGCCACCGCCTCCGAAGATGCGGGGTCCGCCCACCGCGATTTCGATCTCAACATACCCGTCTTCTCCTCGACGACGGACGAGGAGGTGGAGAGCCCTCACCCGCTGAAAAGGCCCCGCCTTTCCGCGACAACCACGAGTGAAGCAGTTAGATCAGTCGGTTCATTAGGAACTCAGACCCATTGATCCTCGGATCGGTTCTGAGTGTTCTCTTTTTGTCTTTGTTTCATTTTTTGTTTGTTTGACTATTTGAAAATTCGGGAATTCATCTGTTGTTGTACATAATGATAGGACGGGAACCGATTCCAAATTATCGTAGCCTGGCGAATCAATTTATTAATTATTTTTCTTTCGTGACTGGATTTCTATTTCTATTGGTGTTTTATTCTGAAGCCGTGGGATGTGGCGGTACTCCGTAAAAGCGGAGGGAATAATGCGCCGCGTTGAATAGCGAGTTGGTGATGAAGAAACGTAGGGGCGTGAGGAATGAGTGATGATGGGTCGGCATATCTGCGTGAGCAGCGCGGCAAAGACTGTTGGCAAGTGCCTGTTGAGTCCACTCGCACATGTTGCTGTCATTGTTTGTTGGTGACGGTTTTTACTGTTAGCAAAGAGCACGCTCGAGCCTTTGAAAGTGCGTGCTGCCTCCTCTCTCCCCCATTTTCTTCTTCTTTTATTTTCTTTTCTTTTTTTCTAGTGTAAAGTTTTATACTCGGCCCTGTCCACATGAACGAGGGCTCCAATCCAACTCCGCCCTTAAGTAATTAAAACAACTATTTATCTGAAATGTTAAAATATCGGACAAGTTATCCTATGAATATATCATAATTATATTTTGTTTTTTAGAATAGAAATAAATTTGAATGGAGTCAGGGGTCAGGAGTGACGAGAGAATGGTGCCAATGGCAGAGCAGTGTAAAGAATAAAGAAAGAGGTTTGGATAGTCAGGGGGAAAGCGACGGCCGTTTCAGGCGTACTTGCGTGTCGTTTTATTTGGAATGCTTAATTAATTGAACATGCCATGCCATCACGCTAACAAATTGAAGGCAGGAGTTGCGGTGGAAATGTTTGTGCATATCCACCAAGTCCAGGCTAATTTTCAAAATAGACTAAATAGAATTCAATTGTTTGCAAGGCCAAAGCGCCCCACATTTGCGTTTCAACTTTCAAGTCATAACCACACAACCCAGCAAGTCCAGGCTAATCTAATTTAACCATATCCACCCTTTCCTCTCTTCATATTTTCTGCCATGTCCTCTTTGCGTGTTTTGGTGCAAAACCCCTTAGGACTTTTCTTCCCATGTGTAAAGGTGTTCACACCTTCATCCAGTCGCTAGCCTCAGCAGAACGCGTATGCTCTGAAAAGTCATATCTATATGTATATGTACCTGTCTACGTAGGTGTATCCTGATCTTATTTCTCTCTCTCCTGCTCTCTAGTAAAAAATGACAAAACACGACAGTCAAATGTTGCAAGGGGGAAATCTGGTGGTCTTATGTTCGCCAATCCTCACCCCTGCTTTGCAAAAATACCCAGCACCTACGAGGGATCTGAATTTTGGCACGGATTTAGGTAACTACTCGCAACTCCCAGACACCATCTCCAACCAGACAACACTATAGAAACCAAACTTCTCAACTACTGTTAAACAGCTGAAGAAGTTCAATTATCCAGTGAGCATGAGAATATACATGTATAGCATGTAGATCTTAATATCTCAATTCATATGTATAATAAAATATGATAGAATAAAGTAATTCATGCGTATCTGAAGAATCCATGAGTGCTAGATAAATCTTGATTACCTCGAGTATGAGCATGTACACAACCCACAGGTCCCCAGAGCTTTCAGAGAGTTCAGAGACAATGGAAGTAGAAGAAATGAGTCGTGTGTTTGCAGTTACCGACTAATCTTCTTATATAGATCAGATTGGGAACCGCCTTAATTAAATAATTATATTATCTATTATCTCTGACTCAGTCAATTAAGAGATAGGAAATAACTGACGGCTACTGGGTTGTGAGTTGGGCCTCTGCCCATTGGGCTCACTTGTGTGATCCACCTATCACGATCCACACAAGATCATAAGGACTAATTTATTGGGCTTATTAATTAATGCTAATTCATAAATAATATTTCAACATAGTAGCAATTGAAAAACAAAATAAAGTATTGAATATTGTTAAATTACGTCATAAGTGATTAAACAAGTTATAAGCATGGATAAAACATTTTTAATATTCGATAAATACATCTTCTGTTTCTCCCCTCTTACAGAAAAGCACGTTGCTGGACCAGAAGATCAACCAACAGGAAAAAAAATGTCATACTACTAACTATAAAACATCTATATAATTCTCTCTATTTTCTTTTTTTTTGAAAAAAAAACATCCATACAATTCTTGTTTTCTGGCACATCAAAAACGTGCAAGGGTCGTGTATTATAATCAAAGTTTAAAAAGGAATCCAGCTCAGTGCAAATTGTAGACTTGTAAATAAGATAAAGATATAAATTTAATTATAAATTATTTTTTAAGGACTACTAAATATCTTGTAAAATAAAATGTTACAAAAAAATCATTAACTATGAAAAACATAACATCTGGCACCTTTCCATTTATGTGAGTAAACGTCTGTTAGTTGACCAACTATTTGACTATAAAAAAGCTATCATGCCATGTGTAGCTATTCTTTTGGACCTTTCTTCTTCTCTCTCTCCCCATTCTTCATCGTCGTCTTTATCTACTTCATCATCCTCATCCAACATTTTCATCCTCACCGGCCTCCCTCCTTCCCTCTCTATGCACATGTGTGTCTTCTTCACCAACTCCTCCACCATCATCCTCATTTGCTTTTTCATCTTGACCCTCCGTGGCTTTCATGGACTGGAAAAACTAGCTTCCCTCATAACTTCGCTAGCACTCGGTTCATCGAGTATTGGAAACGATAAGATATGTGAGCTTAACTTTTGCAGCCAAGGGAGGTTGCTCCTACTGCTGATGTGATAATCTTGAGCATACTTGAGGGCAGCCATTAAAGCATTGGAAATGGGAGGTTCTATCTCAGCCATTATATTGTTAGTTAGATTTAAACTCCTTCACATTCCACGTTCTCCTTCTTCCTGCCCCCATTTTTAAGCTCTTAAATTAGAGCTCAAGGATTCTTCTTGCCAAGTTCCATACACAAGTGAATTGAAAATTGATGGCAGGGTGTTTCAATGAACCTCCATCATATGCATGGGAGCTGACAGCGTTAAACTTGTGGAGATTGTCACTTGCTAGCTATTTGGCTCTCTCACCATTGCTTCCATTGACGATGGCAACACTGTCCAGCACCCTGTGTTGAACTCCCAGTATTCACAGACAGTAAGTAGAGGAAGCGAGAGAGTGAAAGAGAAGACATACTAGAGGTAAGTGAGAGGGAGGAGAGAGATGCTTGATTGGTGTAAGCAATGCCCGATGGACGTTAACTCATAGTGGCGAGGAGAGAGAGAAAAATATATGATGGTGAGGGGAGAGAGTGAAGGAGTGGGATTGTTTTATCAGCAAAGGAGGAGGAGGAAGAGGAAAAAGATACAATGGCGAGGAGAGAGCGAGAGAGAATAAATGTCCATCAGTGGCAAATTAACAGCAGGTGGTGGATGTGATGATTTTGATCATTAATGATTTATTTTATATCATTTCATAATACAGTCTATCCAGCGGTCTTTAAAAAATAATTAGTGGCTAAATTTTTACATTTAACTCTTGCAAATATGACAATTGAATCGAATCATATATCATATTCCATAAAGCAAGCATAGAATCCAGAAATGGGCCTACTTCTGAACAGGCCATTAACTCGGACAACCGGACCCAATCTCATCTTCAATGGTCCAGAAGCCATAATTTGTAGAACAGCGAGGACACGGAAAGGCCCAGGAGCGACGTGAGCGATAGTTCATATTCGACTATAGTCAACAGAAGGGTCAAACGATATGAGAATAGTCACGGAATAAATATAAAGCGAGAATATGAATAAGAAGTATTAATGGTTAAAATTATTCCACGTGCTCATGGAAAATATGGATGTCTCACAGGACCAGTTTTCGTCCTCAGATAAATAATTCACATGTCTAATATGAATACAAATCATCTTTCCTTGTCAAAATCCAAAAAATTGAACATTAACTTTCAAAATATTTATGCTGTCCCGATACATTCCGGGTTTCAACATATATCTAGACCGTAATATTAGAATGCAGCATCAGAATATTTTCAGGACAAAACTTAAATTCATAGCCTTATATACGTAATATATTTTTTTCAATCAAATTAAAATAAATGAATTTAAAAAGCTAAAATAACAAGAATTTAATATAAAATAAATAATTCATACATGATATACATGTCTCTCGATTTAATTAAAAAATAAATACCTTATAAATATATAATCTTAAGTATGTAACTTTTCTCCTTATTTTTTAATGGATGTGCATCCTTTTTATCAAAACTTATATCTTTATTTTTTGATGTTCTAATTCATGTGCATTTTTAAATGAATAATGATACATATGCAGTCCAATTAAAAACATCATATTTACTCTTCTAGTCTTACTTACAAGTCACTTGCAACAGGTTTCATTAGTATTAAAAAAATCTTAAAACTTATTAATTTTGTCTTTAAATTTAATAAGTTTTTAACTTTATCCCTATTAAATATACATACTTCAATAACATGTTTTTTTTTTGCTAACATTCACTAAAGGATAAAAGAAAAATTTTGTTATTAAAATTTAATGACATAATTTATAAATAGGATAAATTTTTTTTCTTTCTCTACCCTATAAATAGGATAAGAGAGAGTATCCCTTTCAGCTTACATTTTCCATGCCCGTCAGTTTCAAAATGTTCAATTTTTATTTTTTAATCAGGGAATTTAAAACTGGAAAAAAAATTACATTTAAGTTTTATAAATAGGCAATAATTTTAAGAAAAGTTGACAATAAAAAATTACAATAATATGTTAAGCGAGGAAGCTCTCTATTCTTTTTTTTTTTTTTTTGGGGTTGGTTTTTCATCCATAAGAAGATGAAGCCCTCATCAAGAAATAGACAATGATGAAGACAGGATGGAAATGGAGGATAAAAAGGCCCAATCCAAGGAGTAATTTCGCCGCTAAGCGGTGGGTCATGCTCATCCCAAAAATGAACACCGTGTGCTCGCTCTTGGAATAAAATATAGATGGTTAAGATTAAATTTAAATAAAATATTATTATATATTTTATTTATTAAAATAAAAATATATAAAATTTATAAGGTAATTTTAATAAATTTTTTATTTTTAATATAATTTAGATTTAATTTAAAAAATTTAATTTATTATTAAAATTTTTATAATTAATGTATATTAATTATTCAAATATATTCTATACAACCTTGAATTGTGCAAAGTATTTAGATAATCAATATATATTAATTATAAAAATTTTAATATTAAATTAAACCCTTTAAATAAATTTAGGTTAAATTTAAAATAAAAAATATTAAAATTATTTTATAAATTTTATTTAAATAAATATAATATATCATAATATAATAATACTTTTCAACTGGCCTCCTCCTTTGTTTACACTGAGGCCATATTTTGTATTGTTGAATTGACAATGTGAAAATAAAATTAGAGATAAAATCTTAATTTAAATATAATTGGCATGTAGGAGTTATAATTTTTAAGAATTTAATTCCACCAAAAATGTTAGAATTTAATTTCATTATATTGATTATAGAATTGCCTCAATTCTCTTGAATTCATTGTGTGAACCTCACTGCCCTCATCCTTTTTATCCATTTGTGACAAGGTAGGTTTTTTAATTTTGAGTAAAAAAAATAATTTAGTCTTTTCTTATTTTAAATACATATACTAATTAATATTATATTAAAATTTTATCTTTATATCAAACACTTTTTTAAGCTTAATTTTATTTCAATTTTAATTCTATTAAAAATTATTTTATCACACTAAATGGGCTGAAAGTTGTTGCTAAAGACCAGATTTCAACCTCCTTCTTAACAGAGAAAGTCGGTGCCTTTTCTCCTTTTGAAACACCAATTGCTTAACAGAGAAAGTCGGTGCCTTTCCTCCTTTTGAAACACCAATTGCTCAAAGCTTTCGTTCCAAGCTTCTCAGTCGAATTCTCTCACGTTGCGGACTTGATGATATAAATTATTTATTTTTGAAAGGAGCCCTCCAGACGACACCGTTTAGCAAGCTGATAACCGAATCTTTATTAAGTTTTTCGTTAAACGGTGCATTTGAAAGATGAGCTGCTGCTGCTCATATCAATGCTTAGCACGGAAACCGAACCCCCAAACCAAATAGAAGGGTAGAACAAAAAGCGGTAAGAAAAGAAATTACTGTGAGCAGCGGAAAAGAGAGGCGCGGAAACACGGAGCCGCTCTTGCCCTGAGCTTGGAACCTGGAAGAACTAAGAAGGGGAAGATATTCCCGCCAGTGGACCCCACCCAGAAAAAGCCACCGTCTCTCTCTCTCTCTCTCTCTCTCTCTCTCTCTCATAAACTCAACCACTGATCCACAGTTCACGTTCTCAACTCTCATCTTCGTTTTCCAGGACCTCCCCTTGTTTTCTGGACTCGATTCTCTTGTCACTCCCCAAATGAGCTGCAACGGTTGTCGAGTCCTCCGGAAGGGATGCAGCCAAGACTGCGCCCTCAGAGCTTGCCTCCAGTGGATCCATTCCCCTCATTCCCAGGCTCATGCCACTCTCTTCCTCGCCAAATTCTTCGGCCGTAGCGACCTCATGTCCTTCATTTCATCTGTTCCCATCCCTACCAGACCAGGTCCCTTCTTCTTCTTTCTTCTATTATCATCTTATCCCTCCCTATAATTTCTTTCCTTAACTTTTCTTTCTTTCTTTCCTTCTTTGGGAAATTTCAGTCTTGTTTCGGTCGCTGCTGTACGAAGCGTGCGGGCGAACGGTAAATCCCGTGAACGGCGCCGTCGGTCTCCTGTGGAGTGGTAACTGGCACGTGTGCGAAGCGGCCGTTCAGACGATACTCGCCGGCGGCGTTCTTGGGCCGTTGCCGGAGACTTTTGATGGAGTTCTGCGGCCGATCTTAGGCGAGTCTTCTTCCGACATTGGGAGAACCGTGCGCTTTCAATCCCGGCCATTCATGCAAGACCTCGGAGAAATGGAGCAGAAGTCAGCCTGGGATCTCTCGCTGCTTTCGGAGTCTTACAGCAAGAAAAGACCTGTTACCGGGAGCGTTGCCACGGCGCTGAGGAGGCAGAGCAATCCGACCATGTTGCCAGTTGTTTCTGTTGAATCGGGAATGAGAAGTAGTAGCAGTTGCGGAGACGAGAAGAGTACGAAGCTTTTGGATTTGTTCGTGTAAGAATGCTCAAAGTGGGATAGAGTTATATATGAAGAATCGAGAGGGAGATTAGCATATCCGGGAATGATAAACGTACAAGGCAAGGCGAATAAAAATGCAAGGAGAAGAAAGGGAGGTCTCGCCGCCGGGATTTTTGGTTCTGTTAATGAAAACCGGAATCAATTCCGGTGAAGTTTTTTGTAACTATTATTATTACTTATTATTAATGTTGTTGGAACAAAATATTATTAATGTCTCTGCTGATGTGTTGCTTTTGTTTAATTTGCTTGTTCGAATTGACAAAAGACCTTATTTCCAAAAATAAATAAATACTATTTTAGTTTTATTTATAAAAAATAAAAAAAATAAATTTAATTTTATTTATAGAGTGTTTGTTAATTTTTAATATTATTTTTTACATTTTTATTTTTATTGAATACTTTAAATAAAAATATTAATAATAAAATTTAAAAATATTTATTAAAAATAAAAAATTATTAAATTTTAAAATAAAAATAAAATTTATTTTTTTAAATTTAACGAAACATGTTAGATATTATTTATAAATAAGATCTGAGCAAGAGGGAGGAAGAACGAGGAGGGAGGGAATCGAAGGGCAGAACAGCTGAATTCTCCTGTGCGAAGGACGGGGGAGGATAGAATATTTAGATAATGTGGGGAGGCATGTTTATACAACTTAATTATAAGTCTGAAAATTAATGGCACTTTCGGTATGACTTTCAGTTCTCAAGCGTGGTTAAAATGAGAAGCAATAAATCGAGGGGAGAATGACAACAAAATTTTAAAAGAATGAATTAATAATAATTAAGTTCACAAAAAAATTATAAAATAAATTATATAAATATTAATTTAAAAAGTCAAAAATATGAATCTAAATTGTAAATTAATTATTATATTTAAAATTTAAATATTATATTTTTAATTAAAACTTTTAAATTTATAATTGTTTGAATTATTATTTATAATTTATTTTTTTAAAAAAATTTGTTGGTGCCTAATGTGATTAATTTATTTTTTTTGAAAGCGTCCAAATCACAAGTTGTCTGGATAGCACACATGGAGCACCTCGAAGTTGTAGAACACGTTGGGCATATTTTATTATTAGGAGCGCCATATCAAGTAGACTTTAAGATTAGCTTTGAAGAATCAAGACCTAAACAAATTAGTTTTAAAGAGCTCGAAATTACCTTAAGACTCCTAATTTTGAAGCTTAATCCTAACTCTTAAGGCAGGGCCTTGGCTTTAATATTTTTTTATTTTTTATTTTAAAATTATAATAAAATACATTTATAATTTCAAAAAAAATACTACGCATAAAATCAAGTGTAAAAAATAAATTTAAATAAATTCATAATAAATCTATAAAGTTTAAACATTCAAATTCAATATCATGTTATCAAAATTGTGCAACCAATTGTGAGTATAAACAATGGGCTTAATATTATTTGGAAGAAGAGAATTTCAATATTTTGTCAAAACATGTGAACCATTGCTAAAAATTGATTCATTGACTATAGTAATAATTGAAATACTAAAAATGTCATCAATTATCCTTAAAAAAATTGAAAGTTGATGTTAATCATTCTTTTACTAGTTTAATATCTTGTTCTTTCAAAGTATGAAACTCAATATTATTTACCTAAATAATTCTCCAGTTCATACTTGTCTATAAAAAAAATCATACACATTCATATAATTATTTTGATAATCCTATATTATAATTTGTAAAGGATTAAAAAAATCACTTAAATACTAATAAAATAAAATAAGATAAAAAAGAATAAATTTAACTGACAAAGTATTTAAAATATACATAAAATGTATCATAAAAGTGACTGTTGCTGTTGATAAGAGATTTAAAATATAACAAGCACTTGACTTTTTTATTTTTTTAATCTAAAGAGCTCTCTTTAAAATTCAAAATTCATTTATGCCTTTTAGTTTAGTGGTCTAACCCTAATTATTTTAGGGTTTAAATAAATTGGCCTAATAAGCTTGACCTGTTTTGCCGGTTATAGCGGTGAGCGGACTCTCATGATTCTATTCGGATGGTCTAAAAAGGGTGGGGGAGATGGAATCCACGTCAGGGTGAGGCGGAAGGGAAGAGGTCCGCCAATGGAAGTGGGTTCCACGACAATGCCCAACCCACCATCAGTGATGATTCATAAACACGGTCTCTCTCTCTCTCTTTTTTCACTTTTCATCGCCCACATCACAGTCGCGTTGCCGCGTCTCTCACCACTCACCACTCCCACTTCTGGGATTCGCTTTCATTAATCAACCAATTCAGTTTTACCAGCCTCCTCCTTTAATTGCCTTTTTCTTTTAGTCTTGTCTCGCTTCCAACCAGTAACATGCGTCACATTATTATCCATTTATTCCTTCATCCTTTCCTATCACACGGTCACCTCATATTTTTAACTATTCTTCCTTCCTCTTTCATCCTCGGGCCTAAGTAAAGCATCACTCTGGTTAAATCTAAAGCCCATTCCAAAAATCACATCATGTTTCTTTTGGGCCTAAGAAAAGCATCAGTTGAATCTGAGGGTATAGTCATTAGTCTATTTTCAAACCAGTTGAATCTCAGGGAAGTGACTAGACTCTTATGATATGTCTAATCAAGGTTTTAATTTTTATTGGAAGGGATGTTAAAATTTAAACAAAGTATTAATTCGATCAACATGATCTGAGGCCCAAAAAATATTATTATCTCAAAGATTTATATACTCATCTATCATTGAAAATTTAGATACTTGTGTATTAATTAAAAAGTTTAATGAAAAATATATTTAAAAGACATCTGTTTCATCAAAATGAAAATAAAAACTTTCTAATCAGTCGGTTCTCATTCGTCTCTGGTCTCTATCTTCAAAAATTCTCAGCCATTCTTTTTCCTTTTTTTGGGACAACCGTTAAGCTGATTAATACTTCAAAATTTTCGTAAAAATTTCAAGAAAAGTAATTGTTTAAATTATATATACATTTTAAGTGTTTATTATCAGATCTCGAAGTCATTTTCATAAGATACAAGGGATCATCATAGCAAACCAATAACAATGTTTCAGGCCAAAAAAAAAAAAAAACTGTGATAAAAAAAAAAATAACTAAAACGTTACACACACACATCCACTCCTCAATCTTCAGAACTTGAATTTTGAGAACGACAGCATCCACTCCTCAATCTTCAGATCGACTGTACATATGAAATACATCACGAAATGGATCACGCGTTAGATTTAACTAAATATACACTATACTTTTAGATGCAACCAGCCACTCTTCTGTTTCGACGACAGCGGAAGGATGGTGAAGCAAATACAGATACTATTTGCTTGTTACTTCACTGTTTGGCTTCTGGGTTAGGCAAGCATTTCAACTGTAAAATATGTGTTTTCAAGCTCCGCTCTGAAACCTGCCCACCAAAAAGTTTCCTTGGTTAGTGTAACAGTCAACAGATGCATAGTAAGTTTCTATAAATGAGATCCAAACACAAAATTTACCTGCAGAGCTGCAACAACTGACAAGAGATTTTTACACTCCTCCAGCAAAGCAAGCTCTTTTGCACTCAAATTAGCTGCTTCAAACAATAGCGAGTTTACATGGCCAACCTGTACATTGCACAATGCAGATACTTTTAGCATATTCGCAAGCGCCTGTCTGGTAATCACATCACGATAAATAATTGTAGCATTTGCTAACTATCCTGATTCCTGAATTCATCGATGTGTAAACTTCAGACTGCAGAGAACAAAACAAAGAATGGAGTAAATTATTCTTTATCCACCTCTGTTTCTCTGCCTTCCTGACAAGATCAGTGGGATTTAGTTAACAGATATGACAGGCGATTCCTGTAAGTGGCGGGTACATTACATGAGTTGCGTAGAACGACAAACTTCATACTTTTATTCCCCTTCCCTTGTTATGCAAATTACGCATGTCAGGAAGAACAATCTATAATATTAAGTGCAGGCGTGAGTCAAAATTCTGCCTTTCACTCTGCATTCATAAGGCGCGTCAGAAAGGACAGAGATGGAAAGAGGTGATGAGAATAAGTTTTCACTCCATGTGAACTTTGAAGTAACCGAATGGTTAACCACAACTAAGAATGTATTTTTCAATTGGCCATTGCTCATTTGTCAGTGTCTGTGACGGGGATGATAAATAATACTATATTTAAACAATTCACGGGGATCAAACCATGCAATGGAATAAACAGTAAAGTACCGTCTGATTTGTGAACATATTCCTGCACGCACCTCGTTTACTTTGTACTTTTTATTCTAAATGTAGAGGCTAACGAAGAGTTTCATTTTGGTCAGTTGTAAGATTTTAATCTTCCGTTTCATTTTGGTCAGTTGTAAGATTTTAATTTTCCTTGTCTCTCTCATTTATTATTTTTGTCAGAACTATTCCTATTGATTACACTAGTATTTTAGGAAAACCAATAAATATTTTTTACAAATTACTTACCTAATTATTTTAATATATGTGAATTAGTCAACTAACTCCTACACTTTTAGGACTAAAAGGAGCATTAGTTCATTTGGGAAAAAAATTTCACGATAATTTAAGTTAATAAACCAGTAACCAGTAGGATGAAGTCATTCTACGCCCTAATTGCAGCCCATTTACCTTAGCAGCGCAAGAGTTTATAAACTTTCTATGTACAACAAACTCGGACGTGTTCCCGTCATGATCAGAATTCAGGAGGGGAGATGCATTGACACAACTAACAAAAACGAACATCCTAATCCATCCAACATCTAGAAAATCAAACAGGACCAACGTACACATACGCTTACCTTTGGTGACAACAAACATATAGACGACGCCATTGCCTGCATCACATCCATTGCGGAACAAATGGCTTCCTTCACATTCATCACATCTGCCTGATACAGAACTTTCTCAGACCGAGATGTGACAATAACAACAACGGTGTGCCTAATATCCTATCATTTCCCAAGGAATAGAGGAATGAACAGGAAGCTAAAGTAAAATACCTTGGCCCCACCAACAACGGGAAGGCGGAGAGTGCTAGCCTTTAAGGCCTCAATAGCCCCTGAGAGTGAACTAGAGTATCCCCGATCCAAAAGAGCCCAATCTTCCAAATATATCATCTACACGAAATAGGTTTCACTGAGAACTCATGGTGCAAGTTGAACGTAAAGCAAATATCACCAAACCCATTCAATGCACAAGCCGCATGCATGTAAAATAGGAGACGACTTTTTACCCGCATTTAATATGGCACAAGTTCAATTTTCTTGCTTGTGGCATTCCTATCATTTTCTATTAACAAACAACACACAAAAGAGACTAGTGACGTGCAATTTACTCAGAAACGATTGCGATTTCATTGTTATGAATTCTGATAGAGTTTGTAAATGCGTACGATAATAATAAAACCAGCAACATGAAATCAGATGCCTTGGAATGCCAGCAACAACACAAAGAATAGAATGACACGTGAGGTCCCACAAAAAGGAAATGACAAGAGCCTCAGTAGTTGAAGACAAAATAAAATCAAAGAAACGCGTTTTCTTGAAGAAGGAAGAACCTCCAAGTCAAATCAAGGCAGAAATACAAAAGTGTCGATAGTCATCATGGTTCATGGATCTTACCTGCTCCTTGAGGATGGAAATTAGCTTGATATGTTGCTTCAGCAATATTAACTCTGTTCTCTTGGCTCTAACAGATTCTCGTAGCTTAGAGGTAGCTACCCATGCATTACAGAGGCTTTTCTGTTACAAAATGGTATTAAGGAAAATCATTATTCATTAGTGCATACAAGTAATGCAATTGGGGGGGGGTGTCAGTATATGAGAGTTAAATCCTCTCTTTCCCTTAACTATTATTTAATACACCATCACATCACAAGAAGCAAATGCTATTGAGGACCAGGATGAAACCAAAATTGGAACAATTGTCTATGCATGACTCTTCTGCTATTTTATACTTAGAAACAGTGAAAATGGTATTTTGAAACAAAGCAAAATTAATTTAGAAAGCATACCTCTGCATTCAATCTCTGAACAGAGAGGGTGGCATCTGCCATGGCATTTACAAATCGCCATTGCAAGAGTTTGTTATAGAGGAGTCTCAGTAAATGAGCGTCAACAATACGGCTCTCCCCTATCTTTCCTCTTCGTACGTCAACAACAAAACTCAAAATAGAAGGCACATTGCCCAGCCTATCGTTCAGGCCTCCTGCCACTCCATTTCTTACTCGAGATGGGCTCATCCCTCTCCAGGGGGACGATATGGATGGCGTGGCGAGCTTACTTGGTGAAGCAGAACGAACCGCCGCACGAAGAAGAGATACTTGCCCCCTGCTATTTATGATTTTTCCGGGAGATGTCATGGGACTATCAACACATGAATCTTTTGGATGGAGATGCTTAGGCGGAACTATTAGTTTATTTCCAGAATTCCTTGACGATGGAGATGCAGGGTCTATCTGTTGCCGCAACCGATTGTTAGCCTCTTGCCAGAATCTTTCTGGTGCCACAATTCCACGGGAACCTCGTTTCCCTTGTTCCCCTCCGCAGCAAGAACTACCAGAAGACACACTTTCGTTATCAGAAGGAATGAACTCAGATCCATCAGCTTTCTTCCTTTCAAGAACGACCTCAGCAATCTTCTTGGCTTCTCCGCTGTCCCCTTCCGAACTCATCGTCCCATCGAAAGAAATTTGAACACCTACCATCAAATTTTGCAGTGATTTAACCACGTCCCTGGATCCTCCTAATTTTTTCGTGTCGTCCGTGCAATCCACACTTCTAGCCAAACAATTCAAGGGCCGCATTGTTCCCGGCCATCGCTGCTGATCCGATGACCTTGAATGCTCACTCTGGCTGGAACTTCCGCTCCTTCCTCTGCCGGGAGTTGTGGCCTTACTCCTCTCTGGTGTAATTTTCCTAAAATTTGGCGAAGGTGCTGGTTTCTCCTTGCTAACCTGGATTGAGAATGACTCACCCTGAAACGAAACCGATAAACTCCTGGTTGAAGTGAAAAGCATCTTCTGAGCCGTCGGCGTACCAGCGCCAACACCATTTCCAGCTCCCATGCAGGAAGGTTTAAGTCGAGGATTGGCTGGTCGACTCCGGTTTACTGAGAGCGAGCGCTTGGTCAGTGATGGCGACTGCGTTGGTGTCCCCATAGATGCTGAATTCATGGTGGTGGACTGAAGGGGTGATTGCCATCGTCTCAAACTTGATGAGGAAGTAGTGGATGAGGGGGAAGACATATAACGAGACGTAACCTGTTGAAGTTTGGGTCTGCGAGGAGTAAGTGCATTGTCGGGTTCAGAGGGCAAGAGAGGAGTCCTCTTTGGGTTGTGAGATGGAGGAGCAGGACCTCCCTTGGTTTTGGGGTTTATCGATGTAGAAATTGCACTTACCATGGTGTTGTAACATAATCGATCATGAATTCGAAGCTCATCCTTGAAATTCACGCTGGGAACCCAAATTTTGATTACACAAAAAAGAAATAAAAGGAAAAGCCAACCGAATTCAGTAAGTAGAGCAAGGAATAGGGTGGATTGGAGAAGAGCGTAACAAAGTCCGTGGCGGAATGGTTCGTATTTTAACGGTAATATGATGTGATACACAATGTGACCGTTGGTTTCCGCCGGCAACGAAGCGAGCTCGTGTAATTTTTCTTTTTGCTTTTTTATTTTTTTGGTTGAAGCAACAATTGACCAAATAATAATAAAAATTGGAGAATGACTGTCGTAATGGTCACACACCGACACTGTTTTCCAGTGTACTTCCACGAGCGCGCTCGGAGAGAATAAAAGTCCACCCTCCGCAGGCCGCAACGCGTGGAGAATGGAGCCTGGTGGGGAGGTGAAACAGCAACGTCGAGACTTGTCTAAACTGAAATGTTGAATTGGATATCATCGCCGATCGACGAGACGACGACTGAATCGTCGGGAACCCCCTCCCCAAACCAAAAAAAAAAAAACAATTGGGCAAGACGTTACGGTTACTCCGACGTCACTCCCTAAAGTATAGCTGGGATGGACATTTAAAAGGAAAAATAATATAAAGGTTTAAAAGAATTAATCTCAAATATTAAATTTTAAAAATTTATAATTTAATTTTTTAATTTTATAATTCTGTTGTGATAAATTTATAACTTATATTTTAAATTTTAATAGAAAAAATAAATTTTTTTTATTCTTCAATCATGTTAAAATTTAAAAAATAAGTTATAAATTTATCATAATGTAATTATAAAATTGAGAGATCAAGTTGTAAATTTTTAAAATTTAGCACTTGAAATCTAACTTAAATTAATTAATCATTTTGAAACTTTTTCATCATTCTCCTGCATTTAAACCCGTGTTGGCTTTCTTACTTTTACAACATGGAGAATATTACTTCCGTCTCAAATTATAGAGTAATTTTGAAAGAATTGTTTATCTCAAAATATAAAATACTTTGAATAAATTAAAGTTTCATTAAATGTGTCAATTCTAATATTACCCTTCCTCTCTCTATAATTAATGTTGGTCTCTTCTCTTTTCAATATATTAAATGATGGGTATTTTTAAAAATTTATATTTTTATATTGAAAAATAAGATTGTTAAGTATATTTAATAAGGTTTATTGATATGTGAGATTTTATCTAGAAGTGTTTTATAATTTGAGATAAAGAGAGTAATATATACTCCTTCGTTAAAACATATAAGGCATTTTTAACTAAATCTCACCTCCAATAAAGTGATTACCTACTTTCAAACTAACTCTATCTTTTTATATTTACCTCTATAAAATACCCTGTAATAAATATAAAATCACTATTAATAGGGACACTTTTGAAAAAAAGGCAATGATTACACCTTAAAAAAATTAAAAATACCTTATATTTTTTAATATCCAACGTCTTAAAAAATATCTTATATTTTTGAATGCAAGGAAATATATATATATATATTGTTTGGAAAAAAACAATAATGGGTGGTGTCGCGAGGCATGCCAGAGATGTAGAGTCTCAAAAGGATGAAAGAACTTAACTTCTAATCAAACATGGAAAACCTAGGTTCTTTTATCATAGTTCACTCGAATGTAAGAATGTAAAGTGAAGAAAATTAATGTAGATGCAATAAAGTAAAGATACATTAATTAAAAAAAGAGGTGACGAGCTATGCCGGTTGTATAACAAAAAAGTAAAGACTAAAACTACCTGATAAAAGAAAAAATAAAATAAAATAGCAGACACAGAGTTTGAAATTGATAGTTTGTATATGCTAATGGTGATTGTTGAGAGAGAGATTCTTTATTTATAGATAATCAAAACTCGGTGCCTAAGCTTCATGATAGTCGATTTCTTTGAATTCAAGAATCACTTCCTCTATCATAGTTACTTATCGTGGGTGGAGTATGAATGACTTAGTAGCTAAAACTTCATAAATATTTTATTTTAATTATTTTAAAGTCAATTAAGTTGAATTGAGCTTGGGTCTTCAAGTTCATAATTTGAGTGTAAACATATATATATAACAATCATTCAAAAAAAATATTTACACTGAAAGAAATTTGTATTAATTAAGGATTATTTGTTATCAAAATTTGAATGGATACTTGTTAATTTGGGTTAATCTTTTATAACTAAATATTCATTTAAGTTTTAATAATAACTTATTCTAAATTAACAATATTTTATTTGAGCTTTTTTTTATTTATATTTCAACAATAACTAACTCTCGATTGATATAAATTTTCTCCTGTGGTCTTTCATTGTTGTTAAAATAGTAATATAATTTTTTTTAATATGACTTGTTATATTAATATAAATTTTCTCCTGTGGTCTTCAAGTTCATAATTTGAGTGTAAACATATATATATATATATATATATAAAACAATCATTCAAAAAAAATATTTACACTGAAAGAAATTTGTATTAATTAAGGATTATTTGTTATCAAAATTTGAATGGATACTTGTTAATTTGGGTTAATCTTTTATAACTAAATATTCATTTAAGTTTTAACAATAACTTATTCTAAATTAACAATATTTTATTTGAGCTTTTTTTTATTTATATTTCGACAATAACTAACTCTCGATTGATATAAATTTTCTCCTGTGGTCTTTCATTGTTGTTAAAATAGTAATATAATTTTTTTTAAATATGACTTGTTATTAATCATTGTCTGTAAATAATTTACTTAAATGGTCCTTTAATATAATTCTTTCTTTAAAATATTTATAAATCATAAACTATAAATTTATACTCTATCCTTTCTAGTCATGTATTCTTTTTACCTGAACTAAAAAGAGCAAACATGTCTAAAAAAAGTAACACTTAATAGGATTCTATCATTAACCACCTCTTCTCATGTAAGGGGTGGAGGGTCTAGTCATGTACTCTATTCCTTATAATTTTATTTACAAGTAAAAAATAAAAAATAATTAATTTTATTTTAAAATTTAATAGTAAGTTTTTATCATTGTTTCTTAATAAAGATAAAAATAATTATTTTTAATATTTAATAAAATAAAAAAATAAAGATCAATATAAAAAAAATGAAGCGTAATGTAAATATGATTAAAATTAATCTTCCCTTTGCCTTACAGATAAAGAATGCATTTTGTGCTTCTAAACATCAACTCTCGGCTTTTCAACCGATTTTATTTTTTATTCCAAGATTAATAATTTACTATAATTAAATTAAAATATCTTATGTTGTGTATATTGACATTGGTAATAGAAGCAAGAAGAGAGAAAAAGAGATCACAGACACTAATTTAACGAAGAGGAAGGTTGTAAACAAACTAGGTCGCGGCATGATAACATTGTTACGTTTATAGTTTTAATTTAACCATGGGAATGTTTTTGGTTGAAAATTGCAATTATTCCTCGTAAATAATTGGCAGCCCAAAAGTTACCAGGTTAGCTTTAAATTATAAAACAATATTAAAAATTTTTTTATCTCAAAATATAAAACGATTTGAAAAAATTAAATTTTTATTAATGATATTTTTTAATATTATTCTATATATAGAGATAAAATTAAAATAATATTGTAGCGTATTCCCTCATTTATATATATAGGGTATTTTTTAATAGTTTATTTTGTTCATAAATATAAGGGATGTTATAATATTTTTTTAATAATTAGATAATTTTATCATTATCTTAAATAAAGAGATGATTAATTGTGTGCTTGATCCACCGCCACCATTATATTAATTAACATTATTAGGAGAAAAATTGAGAAATATTGTGATTAAATAAGATTTTAACTAAAAAACAAATTTTTATTGGTGTGCATTATTCAATTAAAAATATCTTATAGGGATGAAAAGAGTAATGATTAATTGTGTGAGAATATTTTTAAAAATTTTAATTTTTTTGAGAAAATAAGCTGATAAAGTGTTATTATTGTGTTTTATTAATATGTATAATCTTATCTTAAATTATTTTATAATTTAAGATAAGGGAAATATTGTATTACCTCCATTTCAATTTATAAAATATTTTGTGAATATTTGATGTTCCAAAATATGACATACTTTAAAAAAATTAATTAATAATTTTTTAGTATGATTATTTGTATTAAATTATCTATTTTTAATATTATTTTATAAATGAAGTATTAAATAAAAATATTTTTAAAAGTTGATATTCTTGTTTTGAAAAATAAAATTATAAAGTGTATTTAATAATGTTTATTATTATGTGTAATTTTATCTAAAAATATCTGATAAATTAAGATGAGGGAGCATAATTAATATCAGCTTTGTAGTCTTTTCATCTCTGTATATAAGTCATTCTTAATTATATTATTAAAATTAAAAAGATAGTTAAATTATTGTAGTATAAAGAATGAAAAAATTTAACTTATCCTCGTCAAACATATCATCTTTGAAACATTAGGTATTTGCGACCTAAACAAAGTGAGTTAATGAAAATTGAGTAATAAAGAAATAGGATGGCGATAAATTTAAAGTTAGTTAATAAAATTGAGGTATTTACTCCCCCCAGTTTTTTTTTTTTATAAGACGTACTGTCAATTACTTTCATGAAAATAATTAAGAAATAGTTAAAGTTAGTTATTTGCATAACTTTTCAAAATTGTCCGTTGCCATTAAACTAGCTAGCAGTGTAAGATACAATGGCATTTTGTGAAAATAAGACACAAATGTTTTATTAAATTTTATAGAAAAAATCAAAACTATAGGGTCGGAGGGACTGTGCTGTTGTTCGAAATTAAGTACCTCAGTTTCAGCCTAATTAGAAAATGTGAATGTTCTAGTCCCTCCCAAACTATGTTTGCCATTTGTATAATTGCACCAGCGAGGCAGGGAAAAAGTAATAATAATTAACTTTACATTTATTGTACGTAACATATAGCGGATTCTCGCTTTCATTTAATATTATGTATTTATAATAATTTTAAAATAAAAGAAAAAGAAAAATTAGCAGTCTCGTTACTATATTTATTTATTTATGCCTAATATTTTTGTCTATGACCAATGGTGTCACTAATCTTTGCCAAACCAAACATGGGGATAGAAAATTTTATGGCGGGTTTTAGCAGAGAGGAGGTGCACTGGCAAGTGGAAGTGGAAGTGGAAGGTGCAATTTAAAGCACACTTTTCTTATTTTTATATATAAGATATTTTTAATTAAATTACGTAAAGTAATAAAAATTATTTATCTAATTAAAAGTATAAAAATATTATAATTTATTCATTAATTATTGTAAATAAAAGATGAATCTCTTTTTTTAAAGTAAATTAATAAGAATACTTATTTTTTTCTCTTTTCTGATCTCTTTATTAAAAATTATGTTAATAACTCCTTATATTAAAAAAAAATATTCTAAATTTTTTATATATATAGAGATTGAGGGAGTAACTTTTAAGCAAATTAACACGGCACAAATTAATGAGCCTAGTGTTAGAAGAAACATATCTAACTACTTGGCGATTAGAACCTATGATCCAACGGCCAAGAACGCAATACTCACGATTGTAACATACGAAGAGGACATGTGAAGAAAATATGATCTGTAAGTTTTCTGTAGATATTTGGAAAAATGTCCTTTGATACTGTAGAATATACAGAAGCTCTTGTTCAGAGTTTAGAGAAATTAGCTGGCTCAATGTCAGGCATCATTCATCTATTGTATGCTTTAACTGAGGGATGTTGCTATCTTTCAAATTTGAAAATTGTAATGTAAATAGGCAGAGGGGTGGAAGAGACGAATAGTTTATAGCATGACGTATATATTTGCTGGTGTTTATATATGCAACTCCATCATTCTTCCTCAAATTCTAATTGTATTTTGAACCCCATTAAGTCGTTTGTCCAGGAGTTCTCTTTATCCAACTTTTTTTTTTGGGATATAAAATCTCATTGATAAAAAGAAAAGAACAGGGCGATTCAAAATTCAATCCAACTCTATATCCCTGCCTTGAACCTCTATCAAGTTCAGAGCAAAATACGCAGGCAAAAACTCTGACCCTGTTCACATAGCAATAAAAATAGAAGAAAAAAGCTAAAAGTATAAATAAATAATACCCCGTTCAAATTTATACTCAAGTTTTCATTCAATTTATTAACAAACGAATATAAAGGGGAAAAACACAGGCGGCGCATATAGTAATGGTCTATGGTTTTTTAATTTGGGGTGGAATGAGTGGGGATGCTGGACAGCTAGAGTTACTCGGAACCTCCAAATGCTGGCACATAGCAATTGGTGTAGGGAAGCTGCAACATGAAGGCAGTGATTTATCAGTTTGTTAGGTTAGCGACTGATCAATTACTGTTTTTCGGTCCCTCGTGTCTGTATCTGAAATCCTAACCAAACTTCACTTCCTCTTTTACGTCATCATTTATCATTCGCAGCCAAGCAACACAGCGCAAATCAGTGCTACTTCACTTTCTTGGCCTGCGCTTAATGTTTTTTTTATTGCTGTGAAATGAAGAGACACACATCCATATCCCTTGATCTCATGATCTGGATCACGTGCCATAAATTCACAAAAAGATACGATAATATCAAAATATGCTCATCATGCATGCACTTTTAACGAGCATATGTATTATATTAGGCTTACAGGACCACTTGGTAAGGCTTGCAGCTTTCCTTCTTGGGCACTCAATTCCATCATGGTTCCTTCTTTTTCTCTTGTAAGCTATCGCCAAACATAAACCCCACCCCGCCTACTCCTTTGTACAACTCTAAACATCCCAAGAAAATGAAATTCTTCAAGATGCTTCTACCTAATTTGACTAATCCATCATGAGAGAAAAATTCCTTAAAGTAGTTAAGAAAAAGTAGCCAGAGATTATGATGGAAATGCTTCTTTCTCAGACATTTAGAAGAAAATCATCATATTGTCAAGACACAGTTGAAGGAGGAAAAACAAAGTTCAGAATATGCATTCTTGGCCTGTGGAGGTTTATTCTAGAGGCATAAGCTTCATATTACAAGTTCCCACTAAGATACTCGGAGGCAAAGAGAGAAGCAAAATTCTGGGTGTTTGTCTAAAGCACATGATTAGATCACTGTTTTATTGCAAATGTAATTAGATTAAGCACTTAACAAAAGGAGGGACAACCTCAAATAAGTGCTATGATTTCAGAGCTAAATATAAAAGTATCACACTTTCTAGGATACTCTGGCATGTGATGTCTTTTGCCCTTGCCCTCCTGTTCCATCAACAAAAAAGTTTTCCATGAGAGCAACTCGTCCCACCCAATGATGGTGGGGCACAATTCTAGTGGAAAGCAAAGTGATCAGAACTTGCCTATAGTTTCTATTCGTTTTTTCCGATCCCAGTACATTTTCGGCTTTGCATATCACGTTAATCGCATAAGAAAGCCCCTGATAAGCACAAAAGGAGGTTTGATTACAAGGAAATTTCTTAAGAGCCATTCGTTTTGTCGATAATCTAGTAGTTTAATAAAAGCAGGTGATTAACTACTTTATAAGCATCAAAGTAACAGCAGAACTGCTTTACTTAGGGTCATAAATTGTCTCGTCGCTCACGGGATCAAGTAACTTAATTTCATGATTCATCCCTCACGGGCAAGCATTCAAGTTATTTGATATAGGCATAACTTGTACTTCTATAATTTCCCAATTTTACACAAGGCTAGCCTGCTTTCAAAGCAAGGTTAGTGTACCATTTTCGAGTCTAACAAACTGATTGTGATTATGATGTTAACCACCCAAAAAAGAAAAGAAAATAGTCAAGTCTGCGACTTTTGTGATAATTTCAAAAGAGGCCCACTTAAGAAGTTTGCGTCATGGCTTGGCGATTAGTTAAAAGCAAACCCTTGCTTACAAATCAGGGGTTAGGAGATGGGAAGCATCATCACCTGAGAAATTCTTTTAAAGTGAATATGATTAGTTAGAGTAACACAAGTAAACTCGTTAGATAATGCTTGCGAACTTAGGCATGGTCATTCAAATAAAAAGGGTGTAAGGGGTTTCAAGAAGCGATGCTTTGCTTGCAACCTTGGCTATCAATCGTGCACTCGTGAGGCTGGAAGATGAAACTGAATGAAGAGTTCCCTACAGCTGTTCCATCTTTATTCTTTAGTCGACCTAAACCTAATGGGCATTATTAGGGTCCAGGAAAGCAAATGAGAAAAGAGACACACTTGGTCAGATGTGGATTGACAGCAGGCATCTTATCTTCTGCCCGTACTATTTCTGGTAATAAAAGTGAATGGCTCATGATATTTTAGACAATCGTGGACGTGGCAACAATTTTAGCTTCAGCTTCAAGAGTCTAAGCAGGGTCTTGTCTGTATCGTAAGCACTTGTTTATCACCTGAGACTTCCAAAGCTCTCTACTCTTTCCTGGGAGTAGATATCGTCCCCAGATGCTTCAAGGGGAGTTCCATTGTGTATGATTAGGAAATGATTGTGCTCCAATTACCAATAAGTCATTCTGTTCTACCAATAAATTGTTATGAGGATAGCCTACCGCTAAAGTCAGGACGACATTGAAGGCCTTTGACTCATTTTACGGTTAAAGTTGAAATCAAAGATCCACCAGACATTTTGATGCAGATAAATGTCATCTAGGGAACCTCTATCTGAAAGAAACAAATTTTCTCCAGCTTGTTAAATTAGAGTTGATGATATGACTGTATCAAAAAAAAAAAAGAAAAAAGAAAAAAGAAAAAAGAGCTGCTTGAAGTGATTAACAAAAAATCTCTTCCCATTAAAACGGAGGCACATTTATTGCTCAAGTTGGAGCTTCACTCATCAAACGCTATCCATCCTAACTAGTTAGTACACAACTACTATATTAAGTGACCCAGAGAGCCCAAGAACCAACTTCTTTTCACTACACACATGAGAAAAGACAAGGGTTACAAACTCAAGCAGGCATAATAAGCATAACAAAATGTAAAGAAAGCTAAAATTTGAAGGTCTACTAAGCATAGCCCTAACATTGTCAGCGACAAGCGCGAGTTAAGGAGAACCTCCAGCGTTAGGAGGAACAGGAGGTGACGGTTTTGGGATGAATGGAATCAGAGGAGAGCCATGCTCAATGGGTCCAGGTTTCACAGACGTCTTTGAACTTGGCACTGGATCGATGGGTTGATAATCATCTAGAGTTACATCACCCATACCGCCCTTTTTGTTGCTTGTCCTACCAATTCTGTTTTCCTGAAAGTTTAGAGAAGAAAACAGAGTAAGATACTCCAATTTAACCAATCCCATTAAGGATCTGTCCTCGATCGTTGTAAGAACCTTGCCTTGTAGGAGAAGCATAGTCTATGAATTTAAAACAAATACCTTCAGCTTCCTGCTTACTGTAATTTTTGTGCTATCACCACAGTTGATGGAGACCAAATCTAGTATTACATTCAGAAACAGAGGTGTAAGGGACAGGTGGCTTGCTAATCCAATTGATGCATTCAATATATAGAAAAATGGCCACCCATGCCTGATTACATCATCATAAATGAAATTCCCTAAAAATGAGGTTAGGAGGAACTCATCCATCACCTAGTTTTGCCAGCTAGTTTTGAAATGAAAGATACCGCCACTCATGTGAATTTAGCTCATGCCAAAAACATGCTAGCAGATCAAGGAATCTAGTAGTCGTTGTTAAGAATTAATTTCTGCAAACCCGTAAGTTCTGAAGTGCGAATAGATCACCTTTATTTCAGGAACATCTCAATCAATTACATAAACAGCCAGTCGTATCAGGAGTTGAAAACTAATCATTATAGCTTTCAAAAAGATTAGCATGTAAGCAATTGCAAAATATTAAAAGATACAGAAATAACAACTGTATCAAGTGTAGAGTTGTATATAATTAAATGGTGCAAACTTAGTCCCCAAACTATGAATTGCAGACAAGATGCAAACTGGAACAACTCAGGTTCAGGCATTATTTATCGTGCATGGCCTATTAGGCATGACATAAAGCAAATGAAACTCATTAAAAGATTCAAGGTATTCACCACCGTCTATTTTTAATTATAATTTAATGATACTAAAAATAAAAGACAAGTCTCTTGTTGCTTTGCAGAGCTTAAATTAATTCTTTCCCTCCTTATATTAGAATAAATTGTTAAAACCGTTTTCGGACAGTGTGAAATGGGCACAGTGACGTGAAGAAATTGGGAAATGCAGTGATTCACAATCGATTGGAATAAAAGTTGTAGCCGTTCAACCGAGCCAGTGGAACTTTTCTAAGGCATCACGGAAAGTGCCATTTCCTTTTGCATGAGGTAAGAAAAAACTATTTTTGTAAAAAATGATCAGAGAAGAATCACGACGAGGCCGCAAGGAATGTTTAAAGCCAAAGAGCTTCTTCTTCCAAGACAATAACATCAAGGACAACAAAATTTTTCCACTACTCATAGATGTTTTATATACCATTCCAGAATAACGAAAAAAAAAAAAATGCAGCAGGAAATAAAGAAGAGTTAAAAGATTCACCGGGGAAACTGCAGCCAGCAATGGAGCTCGAGAAGTTTAAGCATATCAAAATAGTCGCGACCACTGCGAATAGAACCCAAAAGCCAGGAACCTTCATGATGCCAATATTCACTGTAGACGCAAATATCAGCCCTTGAATCCAGCCACAGTTAAATGACAGTAACAATAAGAGTGGAACAATGTCGATGACACCAGTCCAGAAACTTCGTCGTCCTTTCAACCAACACAAACTACAATTTTGTTTCAAAATAGAGAGAAAGAAAATGTCAGAAGTAACTACCGGAATGTCATCACTGAGGTTGAGGGAACCAGAGTTGGAGAGAATACCTGAAGGACTTCAGGAGGAGAAGGAAGAGTTCATAAAAAGTAAAAACCATGTCTTGGAAAAAAAAAAGGAGTCCATGAAATAAATAGAGATGGGAAATTTAAAGGTGGAGGCGAGTATTTATGGGTAATTATTAATAGAAATGAAGGGGACGCATGTGAGCCTTAATGGTCTTCCGTTGATGTGAGCGACGCAGGAAGAGTAAATGCTACTGGCAGAATGGAGGGGAGAGAACCGAAGAGACTTTAATGCCAAAGGGATGCAGTGAAATGCTGACCTTGGATGGCTTATTCAAATCGGCTCACTTTGAGCCCCCTTGTCCGAGTAACTCGGATAAACCAAAGTAACAAGACTAGTCTAAATAGCCACCAGTCAAGTCCGACTTGAACAATTCGAAGTTTTAAACTTATTCAAGTGTCTTTTAGTTTTTGAAATGGTTTCACTTTCTTTTCACTTTTTATCTCTCATCAAAATTTGATAAAGCAATTAATAAACCAATAAATAAAAGTTGAAAAAAAAAGGTTTCTGCAAAACTGAAGAATGTTCTAGCATATCAACAATGCATGACATTTTTCATAAGAGAAAAGTGTAGAGAAAAGAAAATTATAGAGATACTGTTACCACTTTTTGTATCTAGATGGACATGATAAAATAGAGTAAAAAATGAGCATATGTCACAGGGACCGTAATACCATATGTTATAATATAGCACGTCTCGCGTAATTATCTCTATTAAAATATATTGAAGACAAATAATCAAATATTATATTAAAATTAACATGAAAATATTTTTAAAGAAAATTATCTGAAAAAAATATATTTTTCGTATTTTAAAATTTATATAATTCAGGGTGTATGTATTTTATCATTAGATTTAAAAACTAAATTAATCTCACTATTTTCACATTTTCATGTTTGACAGAATATTTACAAAAAAAATCTGCCAGCCACTGCTTTCTCTTTATTTTAAAGCCTGGTCTTTTTGCCTTGCACGAAGGGCCCGTTATATGGGAAGCGAGCTGATAGCTTTGCAGGACGCCCAACTTTTGCTTGGCCCAACTAATGTCTTCTTGAAATATCTAGAAACTTATCCGACATTAAATTTTATCATGAAATGGCTATAATACTCCGGGAAAATTACATTCAAATCCCTCTTAATATAATCAATTACTCAAAGGTTCATTGGTGTTGTCATTTATTTTATGTTCAATTGTCAATACACTTTAAAGTAATTAATTATGTTGGGTGTGATTTTAAAATAATTCTTATTAATGTTTCAAAAAAAAAATGACAACTTTAAAGTAACAAATAACTATTTTCTTTAAACGATTGATTAAAATAGTGTAGGAAATGACTTTTTCTATTTCCCAAAACTAATGAAATGAAATTGAAAAATAGAAGTAGTTATTTTCCGTACTATTTTAGTCACCTACTTAATGAAGTAATTGAAAATAAAATCTATTGATAATTAAAAGAATTTAGTTCTATTATTTTTTTATTATGCATATGTATCCCCTAAATAAATTCTTTTTACACACACACGCAAATGTTTATATTTATATTCAGCATGTTAAATTTTACATCATATGTAACTTTACATTTAATATTATATATAAACTTATGTACTTTTTGATGATTATATAACTAAAAGTACTTTTGATTCATCTTATTCAAATAATTTTCATTTTATTGGATCGACTTTTTTAAAAATATATCCAATGTTATAGTAGCTAGTTTTTATCAAGTAAATTTTTGATTAATAGAATTTTGATATCTAAACACACATACTAAACTTTTGCCTTTGACCAAATTCTCCAATGAGTAAAACAAGCTACGTTATTTATAAATTATAAATGATATAATTTATGTTGAGTTCTATGTAAATGTAGAAGATCTGTTATTGATAGCTTGGATCGTTATATTGCACTTTTACTCTGATGTTCATTCCTTTATTGGTGCTTAAAGAACTATTGTCCTCAAAATAGTAGGAACGGAATTATATACTTTATTAAGAAGAATATTTGTAAAATTAATTATTCTCAAATATTACATTATTGCTATTTTCATTTTCTTCTTAAAAATATAGATTTAACACTTTTTAATATGTATTTGATGGTTTTTAGGCACATTTAAATTTTAGTTGGATATAATTAATTATATAATTAAAAATTAATTGATATAATTGATTTTACTTATAATTGAGTTTAGAATAATTATGTTTGAATATTATTTTTTAAAAAATAATTTTGATAGAATTGAAGAGATTTGGATGACATAGTTAGAATCAATTTCAAAGGTATAAATTACAAGAAATGACATTATCATTTTTTTTTATTTGAAAAAAAAGGACACACACATATCGATTAATAAAAAATTTAAATTATATTATATTGTAATATTAATGATTTAATCTATATAAAAATAAATCAATGTAGCAAAGTCTAAATAATCTTAATAAAAGGAAAAAAAACTATAATTACAAATATTCAGCTTTAAATAAAGGGAAGGGATGCTGTCGTATGTTGGAAGAGGATCTTTTCCATTCTCAGTTACAACTTTTTCGTTCGCTATTTTCATTGTACTAAAAAAAGAGAGAGAAATCATGGAAAGGAGAGAAGTGATGGACAAGGATATTCACGTGTTGCACTTGAGGATCTCATTGGTAGATTAAAAAATTCTGACAAATTGTTGCCCTCCAATGCATGTTATTGATACTTGAAAGTTGAAAGCTAGTCATCGTAACTTCAGGCAAAAACGTGATTTGAATTAAGATAATTGATCATGCAAAAATGTGAGTGTTTAGTTTTTTTCCACCAAAACCATGGTTTTGGTGCATTCAATTAATTATGGAAGCTTATCCAAAGAAGCTGTTAATAGTTACTTTTAAAATCTAAAGACATTTCATATCGATTAAATTTTTTTTGGGCAATGTATCGTTTCATTTTTCCGGGAGAAATATATGCTGTTGAAGGTGAAGAGAAAGAAGTATTAGATTTTTTTTTTTTAACCTTCAGAAAAATGATTTTTGGAATATCAGAGTTAAAAGGGGGAAAAAAAGAAGCTTTAAAAGGGCAACAATTTAGAATGGATCTCAGGGTAGCGTTAAATTTACAATGCTTGACATTTGACAAACACACGTAAAAGCTAGTTTTTACCGGGGCATAACTATGTTCTGTGATTATGAAGGAACAAGTTTGTTCGGCCCTTAAGAAGTTTGACAGGGAGCCATAAATGCTATAACATTGGCATTCATATTGGATAATGCAGTTGTCTCCGGCACCTGTAAAGTGAAACATGTGTCTTATTTTCGCATGAATGGAAGTTTTATAACAGCATTCAGCATGCGATATATTAAAATTCCAGGGGGTCACGACCTTTAAGTATTAACCAAAAAGGGCTGAGCAGCAGATGGAAGGGTGAGGCTTTGAATAATGAAATATATATGGCGATGGGGTCAACACAGAGCAAGCCTATATAATATATGGCCAAAACAAGACCTTTCTGTTCTTTGGTGCTTCAACTAAAAAGCAACAGCCGCACGCGCAGAGCATAACTCCAAAATGCATTGAGAGCTAAGAGCCCCACTTGTATATTTGGATTTCCCTGCCCACACTTTGAACTACTTTCGTCACCAAAGGACCAACACATGTGCTGATTCTCCCGTGTTTCATTCTTCAACTGATATGCTACATAATGCTAGGGACTCCCATATGGTCAGTACTTACCTGCCCGGACCCACCATCTTCTGCTGCAAATTAAATTACTTACCCAGTACTCCATTGCACTGCCAATGCCATTGCTCGTGACTGCCTAACATGTACGGCAACAGATGCTGCAATTAGATGCGCGCGCGCGTGCAGGTAGTGGTTCCTCGTGGCTTAGCCGCCTCGTGCACACAACTCTTGTGATCCGGGCAGACATTTAGAACTGTGCATTCTAATTCTGGAATGACTAAGAATTAATTGTTTCCCCTCCAATGGAACCGGCGCATATATGAAACAGAAAACTTGATTTACATATTTACACCGCTGCTAATAATCCTATAATCAGAGGAGCTTGTGTATACTATTAACTTCCTAATAACTGATCGAACAAGGTCCATAAAGAATAGGCAAGTCCTCTTCTGATCAGTAAAAATATCCATACTTAAGAATGACGGGGGTGACCAACTAGCTAATTTTGACCACTATTTGCTATTTGGTTGATTACATTTTGCCCGCACGTACGTGATAAAAATAAATGATAACTCCCTTTTTGGCTCTGGTGATTAATATATCTAATAACCACCGAAATATTGTAATTGAATGTACCATAGCAGAAAAAATTGAACACCGTCCTGATCGTCAAGTTCTTCTCCTTCCTGCATTCACTTTTTCTCGATCTCTTCCTGTCGGTTTACTCTTTCTCGAGTTCTTTCTTCTTGTATTGTCTGTTCTTGTATTGTCTGAAAGGGTCATGAATAAAATTTTAATGATCTCTTTACTTGTAAACATCCCATTCCTTCACTCGTTACATATTTCGCATTATTAATTGACTGATTGATGTGATCATGCTGACAATTTGAAAACGAAATATAACGAAAACATACAGTATCGTGTCATCAGGGTCTTAGTCGTAGGTCGGCAATGCTTAGACCTTGGTCGGATCACCCGAACCTTGCATTCTTAGAAAATACTGTAAACTAAACAGCGTTTGGGCGTACAAACAATAAAAACATTTGAGCATTGAATAAAGATAACTATTAAGAGGTCGCTGTGCACAGCTTTTATTCGTGTGCAAATTACTTTCTCACAATGTGTCCAAAACGTGAACTTGAGGCTGTCAATTATTGTAATCGAAAGAACGTCCCCGACGATCGCTTTCTTTTCAACAAAAAAGCGACTTTCTACATCATCTCCTAAATGATTTTATTGACTGAAAGCTGTATGATTACGACCCATCAGCCACCATTTAATTCTTTCATTTCATACTTTATGTATTATAGGGATTTTGCGAGCTGCTAAGTCCACAGCTCAAGTGCTTGTTCATTCTAACTAATCAACAGCAGCCAAAAGCTAATCCATGATTGTCCTGATATTTCAAGTCGATTGATTGATGGATGCTTGCCTTTGCTTGAAGACCGCAAAGGAAATATCACATTCAATTAGCTTGGAATCTCAGGATAATTTATAAAAAAATTGCAACTTATTGGCAACTTTCATACCAATTGTAGAAGCAGCTTCAAGGCTGAAAAAATTATCCCTACTTCACATTACGCTCGTACGTAATTATTGCCCTCGCCATGATGCTGACCCTCAACAAATCAAGCCAGTAAGTTTATACAGATTACTATATACATCCCCATAATTTGAATGTGCATTGGTTTGACGCATGAGCTCGCTTTCTTAACTCTCTTTTTGGCAATTGGTGAGCCAATCTATCCTAAACTCAAAAGTAGAGTAGAGTAATGGAAGAAACCAACAGCGTCCAATTAATTTATTGTTGTTCAGATATTAGTGTAGTGCTCGTAAACTTAATTATATATTCTCAATGGTTGGGTTCGGCGAGAAAGCAAAAGATTAACAAGCAGCAAGGTGCTTATCCTATGTGGTTAGCATTAACGAATCGTAGGTCCATTCCAGCTACAGCCACCATAAAGCAGAACACAAAAGTTGTTCAGGTGGAGAAACTGCCACTCACATGTCTCTCTGATTACTTCACTTGTTTCTTTTCTTTGCCTCCTTGATCAGCCCGTCTTGTTCTCCTTGTTAAATCCTTCAGTTAACCCCAAACTGCAATCAGCGACTCGGATTTACCTCCAACCATTCTGGTTGGGATTTCTGGTTTGGTTATTTTCTGAACTGCAGCTAGTGGAGGATGGCGACATCGCTTTTAGATGAGAGGACGTGCACAACTGAGTGGTTCTTCCACGATAAATCAGATTCAGATCTTTGTAGACCGCAATTAGAATCTAGCAATTTCTCAATCTCAGTGTACTGTTGGTTGCAAAGACAATAAATTATAGCACTAATAATGCATTATCCAATGTTTAACCCATTATATATTCTAATCCAAAATAAAATATAGGTTAGTGGTCATGTAGTAACAGAATTGCTATCCTTTTGATATCTCTTTGATTAGATTTGATGGCTTAAAATTTTCAGTCCACTGAGAGGACCTCTTAAGATAAGTAGCAAGGTTTAGGCAACAAACGGAATCAAATGCCCACTCACTTACAGGCTCGCGTGCTAAATCCACTACATATGTTTATGGCTCACGTAAGATTGAATCAACTAGGATTCTGCGTACATTGCAATTCCCTTTAGCAGCAAGCGGGGAAAATACCCTTAAATAAAAATGTCGCTAATTTACCGGTAGAAGAATCTTTACCTGTCACTGCAGATTCAACCCCTTCAAATCAACAATAAATACACGTTATTCCAGCATTTCTGAGGCAACAAAAGAAGCCAAAAAATCTGAACTCGACTACTTGAGAGGGGGAGAGAGAGAAACAAAGAGAGCCATCAAAATATGAAGATTCTGATTTTGAAGTTTCTTCATGTTGTGCTGCTGCTAATTTTGCATGGCCAATCCACGGCAGCAGAAAAGAAAACCCAACATCACTCAAAAAAGACGTATATAATTCACATGGACAAGTCCATCATGCCAGCAAGTTTCAGCAATCATCTCCATTGGTATGACTCGTCCCTCAAATCTGTATCAGACTCCGCAGAGATGCTCTACACCTACCAACATGTAGCTCACGGCTTCGCCGCCATCCTAACTGCTCAAGAAGCCGACTTACTTGCGAAGCAACCAGGAATCCTCTCCGTCATACCTGAAATCAGATACGAGCTTCACACAACTCGAACACCGCAATTCCTTGGATTGGGAACAACCAATGCTCACTTCCCTGCCTCTGACAAACAGAGTGACGTAATTATTGGAATACTGGACACGGGTGTATGGCCTGAGCATAAAAGCTTCGACGACACCGGTTTGGGGCCGGTACCTGCTAGCTGGAAAGGCCAGTGTGAGGCTGGAAAGAACTTCACTGCATCAAAATGTAACCGAAAACTTGTTGGCGCAAGGTTTTTCTCCAACGGCTACGAAGCCGCTTTTGGACCCATCGATGAAGCCTCAGAATCGAAGTCACCAAGAGATGATGATGGCCACGGAACTCATACCGCAACTACAGCAGGTGGGTCGGCTGTCGCAGGAGCTAGCCTCTTCGGTTTTGCTTCAGGGACAGCAAGAGGGATGGCCCCACAAGCTCGAGTGGCCGCTTACAAGGTGTGCTGGCAAGGAGGTTGCTTCTCATCGGACATAGCTGCTGGAATTGACAAGGCCATCGAAGATGGGGTGAATATCCTATCCATGTCAATTGGAGGAGGCTTAACGAACTATTACAGAGATATCATTGCAATCGGAGCGTTCTCTGCCATGTCACGCGGAATTCTAGTATCCACTTCCGCCGGAAATGCAGGGCCTGCTCCGGGAAGCTTGTCGAATGCAGCGCCGTGGATAACCACTGTGGGAGCTGGCACTCTAGACCGCAATTTCCCGGCCTATGTCACACTTGGAGACGGCTATAGATACAATGGGGTGTCTCTTTACAGCGGCAAACCATTACCTGATTCTCCAGTTCCACTCGTTTATGCTGGTAACGCAAGCTCCGAATCCGGCGAGAATCACTGTCAGATGGGTAGTTTAAGTCGCAGTAAAGTTGCGAGAAAAATCGTGATATGCGATCGAGGAGGGAGTCCCAGGGCGGAGAAGGGATTGGCCGTAAAATATGCTGGAGGCATCGGAATGATTTTAGCAAACAACGCAGAGTTCGGGGAAGAGTTACTAGCTGACTCGCACCTCATTCCTGCATTATCTTTAGGCCAGAAATCTAGCGACGCCGTTAAGAAGTACGTCTTTTCCAATCCCACTCCGACGGTGAAAATTAGTTTCGGAGGCACCCAATTAGGAGTCGAACCGTCGCCGGTGGTGGCAGCATTCAGCTCCAGAGGTCCCAATTTGCTTGCTCCAAAAATCCTGAAACCAGATTTGATAGCTCCGGGAGTGAACATTCTCGCAGGGTGGACCGGTGCAGTTGGACCAACCGGATTAGACATGGACGCAAGGCGTGTTGACTTCAATATCATTTCTGGCACATCCATGTCCTGTCCTCATATCAGTGGATTGGCTGCCATATTAAAGGGAGCTCACCCTGAATGGAGTCCCGCGGCTATAAGATCTTCCCTCATGACAACAGCTTACAGAGCATACAAAAATGGACAGACCATACAAGATGTTGCTACAGGCCAGGCAGCTTCACCTTTTGACTATGGTGCTGGACACGTCGACCCTGTGGCTGCCCTGAATCCTGGCCTCGTCTATGATGCTACCGTTGATGACTACCTCGGCTTCTTATGCGCCTTGAACTATAGTTCGACTCAAATAAAGCTTGTCACAAGAAGAGAATTTACCTGCGACTCAAGCAAGCATCACAGGGTTGAAGATTTCAACTACCCATCTTTTGCAGTGCCTCTGGAAACGGCTTCTGGCATCGGGGGCGGATCCAAAGCACCAACCAGTGTCCAATACAAGAGGACTTTAACTAACGTGGGGACTCCAGGAACGTATAAAGTTTCGGTGTCGTCGCAATCTCTGTCAATGAAGATTGTAGTTGAACCGCAAACGCTTAATTTTGAGCGACTGTACGAGAAGCAAAGCTTTACGGTAACGTTCACCTCTGCCTCGATGCCGTCGGGTACGACTAGCTTTGCTCATCTGGAGTGGTCAGATGGAAGTCATATTGTTGGTAGTCCGATTGCTTTTAGTTGGACATGAACATAATACATGAAAATTGGAAGGCTCTAGCTCCTGGTCTCAGGAACACATGTCCTGCGACAATGAAAATACAGGGCTTCCTGTTCCGGTCCATGGCCCTCAGAGCAATTGTATTGTATCCTATAAATTATCAAGAAAACTAGTCATATCATTATATGTAACTCAATAAAGAAAAACAGGATGAAGAAGAAAACAAGTTACAATAATTGGGTTCAAAATTCAAGCAGGATCCTATAACAGCGTAAATTCTGTCTTGGGCATGTAAATGGCCCCTGTTTTTAAGAAAAATTTGCAAATCAGTAAATTCATTATCATAAGAATATATATTATTCTTTATCTTTAATTTCAATTTCAATTTTCAATATATTTCATGATAAATTAGGAATAAATTTACACAATGATTTAGATTAATAAATACAACTAATAAAATGAAAAAAAAATTTACATATACTAAGTGATTTATATTTTGAATTGAAATTAAAATTAGTTAAAAAATGTTTATATTTTGGATTGAGGGAATATATTATTCAACTTATTGCTTACAAAGAGACATGTTAAACAGTGGAACGAAACCCATGGCCAGGCATTAATATTAAACCCCTTCATGCATTCGCAATACCTGGAACTGGATTCGAATCTCAAAATATTCAATGCTGTCATTAACCTTCCATTGTCCTTGCGTTCCTTTTTGAGACAGATCATAAGTTGTGTCTTAAACACAGAACATTGGACTCCAGGTGTGCCTAAAACCCAGCCCAAATTGGCCACACAATCTTCCTTCTGGCCCTCTTTCCTTTCAAAAAGATAGTACGGTATAAATTCCGAATGCTTCAAATCTTCCGCAAGAACTAATTTAGACTAGATTTGGTATCAGTCCAGAAACAATAGATTTCATTCACAATGTACTAATCTGATTACCATCCAAACAAGTCAAGTGTACGACTTAAAATCCCAAGGAAATCTTTCCATTGTGAGAGATTTGATATGGACGATATATCAAATCTAGAGCTGATATCAAAATGTGATGGGCTGAATTGGATTGGCAAAATGGGAAGTATAATTAGAGTTTATTTTAAATGTATCGCACATTTTTAATTGCAGCTTATCATAGGCTATTTGTTAAAGAAATTTAGGTTAGGGCCGGAGGCAGTGGGGCAGTATATTTTATAAAAATAATTTTAAAAAATAATTAAAATAATTATTATATAAAGCTAAGTGTATGGATATTAAAATTGCATAAATAATAGAATAAATCATACATGTTACAGTTGCCTTCTACATAATTTTATTTGTTAAAACCATTGAATAATTAGCTCAGAGTCTATGGCAATTTCCAGGTCTCGGCCTCAGTCTTCTCCCGTCCCAAATATCCCGAAGATGCATCCAATTATTGACAACCTCCTCTCCTCTCTTTTCTCCTCGCTTCTGCCTTCTTTCTTAAAAAAATTATCGTGAAATTAATTTATTTATAAATAAATTTTATAAAATTTAAAAACTACAATCAAATTTTTTAAGACTTAAGTATAATTTAAAATTAGAGTTAAAAGACAATAAAACCCCTATTAAAGATATAATATATCAGTCAGATAATTTATAACAATCACTTCAACCCTTTACAACACAAACTTTATATATTTAATAGTTAAATTAATTATGCATTATAAAAAAATTTAACACTAATTATTTATAACTACTTTATCAGTAATTTACAACTATCACTTTAATTTTTATAACTATAACTTTACATATCTTATAATTAAATTAATTATGTATTATTAATAAAGTTTAATATTAATTGTTTACAATTATTTAATCACTAATTTATAACTATAACTTTAATTTTTTATAATTATAACATCACATATCTAATAGTTAAAAAAGTTTGAAAAATTTGATATAAAAAATTAAATTTATAATTATAAAAAATTAAAGTCATAATTATAAATTATTAATGAAATAATTGTAAATTATTTGATTAATATAATGTATTCTTAATAGGGGCGTCATTTTCTCTGCATTCTAATTACAAATTACATTCAAATTTTAAAGGATCTGATTATAATTTATAAATTTTATTAAACTTATTTATAAATAAATTTATTTTATGGAATCTATTCGTAATGTTCTTTTTATTTTTACTTTCATTTCACCTTCCTCCCCAACGGGCACAGTTTTCCCTCTCACAAGAGTTTTCTGACACTTTCACCCTTCTCTCTTCCTATCTCTCTCCATTTTACTCCCTCCCAACCTCACAAGTCCTCTCCCACTCTCTACAGATTGAAATTCAGAAGAAGAGACTGTTATCACAAAGCTTGCATGCCCAAATTTTCTCTCCTACTTATGGGCTTCTGGGTTTCATTCTTGCTTCTGCATCATCTCAACTCTCAACAGACCTTGGTTAGTTCAATCCAGTGGGTTCAAATGGGGGGCATACCCAAAGGACTAGAATATGAACATGAACATGCGAACTGGATCGGGATCGGAGCTTGAACGTACCATGCTAACTTGCATCCATCTCTTTTGGCAGGGGTTTTCAGTCGCTTTATATTGGGTTTCAAAACCAAACGCTTCTCTCCTCACTCTTTCCTGCACTGCTTCTATTATTAACGTCCAGAATATGGAAGAAAAAGCAGAGTTGCATTCAAAAAAAAAAAAAAACAATCAAAAAGCAGGCTGATGAAAAAAAAACACTCGTCAAACATTCAGGAGAGTCTAAGATAATCTCCTTTAGACTCAACTGAATATGTTTTCAATTTGTTATCCCGCAAGAGAACGGGGGTTCCGAATCAGGCATTTATCATGATGGACAACAGTATAAAGAATAAAAAAAAATATAAAGAATAATAAAAAAAACTATGAGACTAATCAACGAAAGAAACTATGACTGAACAAAAATACAAGGATGAATCAGGCGAATTCAATGGTTCCCACTGACTAAATGTATTTTCAGCCAAAACTCAACGTTCATTTGTAATAGAATGCACTCAACTACGTCTTTGATGCTTTGTTCAAACAGGTGCCGAAAAAGTAATGGAACTATAGAGAAATTCCGTCAGTTTGTTCAAAAAGAGAGCAACATTCTATCAAAATTATGGGAGAGCACGCTTACTAGATTTAACAAACAGACTGAGGGCAATACTTTTAAACAGTCTAGAGGCAATAATGAATCACAAAAATTCATGAAGTTAGTAAGGCATCAAGCCAGATAAGATGCGTATCGTCCATTTTATACAAATGGCAGGACAACTAAGACCATATATACGGTATATCATGCAGTAAAATCCATTGAAACTTGTGCAAGAGTTAGGACCCACAAGGCCACCAAAAAAAAAAGGAAAACAGAGAACTCAGTCAGACAAATAAATAAAACATAGAAAGCAACTTCTCCGGGGGCAAAAAGTATTTGACATACAGATTTAGAACAGCACTTCAGACTCTTTTTTATCCGGCTAGACTACACGATTCATTGTCAATAATTTCCATTCAACGTTCATTTACAGCAGATAACCTGTATTAATGTTTAATAATCACCTACGCCCTTTTCCTAATCTTTACTCATCTTCCTCTGTCCATTGGAATTTGGAACCCATGACATGTCGGGTAGATCAATACTTTCAAACCAACAACTTTTCAATATGTGGCAAATGGTAGAAAGTTCGAATTCCTAACCTCACGGAAGGTTGTGTTGATTCCATTTTCAGCCAACAGAAGTACATGACCAACTCCAACTATGCTTGTTATAAATTGCAGCTACAAACTCTTCTCCGACTGCAATAGGCCCATCGATGGAAAATAATTTTGCTGCTCAAGGAGCACAAACATGATACATCATCTCCAATGTGTCTTATTTAACAGAAATAGTTTAAAATGTTTCTCAGGGCAAGCAGAAACAACTGAGACTGACACTATTAATTCAACACATTAAGGAACAATTTTGTAGGCCTTGGTCTTGTCTATCCAAGTTATAAAAGAATTCTTGGAGTTCCTGAATCCCAAGAAGCCATGCTCTTTGGCCTTGTTCATGCTATCCAACATTGCCTCCCCTCCAAACGTAATATCTGCAAACCACCAGTCACCGACCTCTTCCAGCTTCGTGGGCTGCAAATTATTCTCTTCCACGATCTTATCCCATATCGGGCCTTTGTCCTTCATCATCTCCGACAACCTCAAATTAGAACCTTCTTCAAACCCGTATTCTTCAATCCCAAACTGCTCGGCCAACACCTTCCACAAATGCTTCCACTTAAATACATCCCCATTGTTGCAATTAAAGGCTTCATTCCTGGCATATGGCTCCACCGCCGCCCATATGTGTTGTTCTGCGATCAAATCAGCATCCGAAGCAACAGAGTAACATTCCCAAGCCGCTTTTGTGCCGGGAAATTTCAAGGGAATTCCCTCGTGCTTGCAAATGGCCGCATACACACAAAGCGTGCCGATAAGGTTCATAAGACTATAAGGGGAAAACCCGAATATCGCTTGAGGACGGTGAATGGACCAAGACAAACCCTCTTTCTTGTCTGCCTCTTCAAACAGAATGTCCTCTTGGGTGTAGTAAAAATTGGGTGCGTCCAATCGGGGCAAATCCTCCGTGAAAGGCGGGTCATGGGGTTGGATCTTGCCGAATAGCTCGAATGGGCCAATGTAGTGTTTGCCACCGGTCTGAAGGCATATGTGGCGGAGATTTGGAGCATTGGGAATGACGGCATGCAAGACGTTTCGGAGCATGCCCCCATTAACCTTGCAATTCTCAGCCTCGGAGGGACAACTGGTCCAGGACACGTAGAAGATGTGGGTCACGTCGGTCAATCCGGAGAGCTTGGCTTCGGTGTCGTTTGGATCCGTGATATCGCACCGAATATAATCGATGGGATGATCGGCGTTCCACCCGGGTCGGGGACGGCGAGCGACACCGTATACCTTCCATGGTCCGCCGGGTGTATCAGCAAGAGGTAAGATCTCGGCTAGGCTATTCCCAACTATGCCAGTAACGCCAATCACAAGAGCCACGCTCTGGAAACTTGGTGGCTGTTCGTCTTCACCGAGTTTCTTCTGCAGAGGGAGACGGAAGAATCAAAAAAGTGGAAAGACGGATAAATTTAAAAAAGATAGAATTGAAGGAAGATGCTAGCCTTGGCAGCGCCGATTGCTCCAGCCCACCACCAGCTCATGATTCAGTCTTCAATCCGTGTCGGATGCAAAATAAATGTAATGATTAAATCCAGAAATTCAGACTACAGAGTAACTGGATCTATAGCTTTAGTTTATTGAAACGCGAATGCGAGATACATCTAACACGACTACACGAGCCACCAGCCATAAATGGCCGGTGTGCCGTGGCCCTCTCTGGAGAGTCCGGGGTATTGTCGTCCTTTCACCCTTGGATCACCGTATGAGAATTATCAATTATGCTATCATCATCATGAACAACCTGGCAACAGGCGCAATCAATCTCATACTGTTTTAAATATCATTTTACGTCAAGAATATAAAAAAAATGACAATAAAGAGAATATATAAATGGCAATTGAAGCTTAAAATATTATAATTCCTTTTAAGTAATATCCTTCTGATAATAATAATTTTAAATTAAAAAATTAAATTATTTTTGTTTAAAAATTTTTATGTAAAAAATTGTAATTTTTTATTCAATATTTATCATTTTAAAAATTATGATTACTTAAATAAAAATTATGACTAGTTAATTTTAAAAATTTAATTTTAATAAAAATTATAATTTTTTTGTTTAATTTTTATAATTTATATAATAAAAATTATTATTTCTTAAATAAAATTTATTATTAAAATATGTTATTTTAAACAAAAGATAATTTAATTATTTAATTTAACATCATTAACGTCAGAGGAGTATTCAGAAACTTAAAAAAAAAGACATTTTAAAAAACCTCATTATTATTTATATATTTTAATAAAATATTATTATTATTTTTTCTATAAAAAAAAAACAAGTCGTAACATATCTTTTGTCACGCTATTAATATCAATATAGAGCATGATGTAGAAGAGAGAGGGGATATCTATCTTGTTATATAAAGTAAAGGTGCCACAACTTTCAAGGAAGTCTAAGCCAATTAATATTTTAATATTATACAGTATTTAATGACACACCGTTTTTTTTTCCCCAACGATGAGATCCCATGTCTTGCAAGATATATTATCCTTCACTTTGTGATCCATGGTATAAAATAAAAAAAATCTTTATATAAAATGTCTAAACAAATGGTTTTTGAGATATTAATATTTAACAATTAGAAAATTATTAAAATTTTAATTTTCCTAGTTAGAGCTATGTACTAATCTCATGGATTACACTAAATCCTGAAGAATAGGTTCCATTGCTTATGAATAATATAAATTGTTAAGGCTTTTTATGCGTTATATTGGTGTTTTTTAAGGTGAATGATCGTGAAAAGTTTTTTTTTTTTTAAGTTGTATTTGTGGACTCCCTTGTATTTTTGGTTGTTGTTGCTATGCCCATAAAAAGAAAAGAAAAAAAATTGAAATATCCATGCTCCCATCTCAGAATTCTTCTTCATGTGGCGCTGTAGTTCCAAAATCAATTTTTATGTCAAAGTGTGTTTGCTGTTTGGATTTCAAAATAGAAAATTAATTATAAAAAATTGATGAACATGATATTTAGATAATATTTTTTTAAAATTAATTTTAATCAAATTAAAGATGTTTAGATAATTTTTTTTATAAAGAACATTATTTTTATAATGTAAATATTGATAAAATTAACTTAGCTAAAAAATAATTCCATGTATTTAACTTGAAATAAATTTAACAAAAGCGACAAATATAATTCTCAATCCAAACAAACTGTGTTCACTCCTAAGGTAGCTTGACATGTTAGCCTACTACACGTGGCTAGATCGCTAAGGGCCAGTCATCACTTGCTGGGGCAATCTCACTGTCTCCAACTCTCCGAGTTGGTTGAATAGTCTCCACTCTCCAATACTTACGAGTAATTTCCAGACTCTTCAGTCCTCATTTGTCACGCCTACCCAGTTACCCTCGACGGTGCAGGTCAATAGAATATTAATGGATAACAATGTCACAGCAAATAGATTACAAACATGACACTATCTCAGAACGCGTTTTATTTTAGAAAGGGGAGGGGAGAACTTCACCTAGGAATAGGACAAGTTGAAATTAAACAAACACAATGCCATGCTGCTCCTTCACCAGTATCACCGTTTGAGGCACAATCTTGTAGGTTCTGGTTTTATCTATCCAAGTTATAAAAGAATTTTTGAAGTTTCTGAATCCCAAGAAGCCATGCTCTCTGGCCTTGTTCATGCTATCCAACACAGATTCAACGCGCAACAAAAAATCAGCAAACAACCAGTTACCGACCTCTTCAAGCTTCGTGGGCTGCAACTGATTCTCTTTCACAATCTTATCCCATACCGGGCCTTTGTCCTTCATCATCTCCGACAACCTCAGATCCGATTCTTCTTCAATTCCCCATTCTTCAGTCCCAAACTGTTCGGCCAACACCTTCCAGAGATGCTTCCACTTAAACACATCACCGTGTTTGCAGTTAAAGGCCTCGTTCCTTGCATATGGGTCCACTGCCGCCCATATCTGCTGCTCTGCAACCAAATCAGCGTCTGAAGCGACGGAATAATTACACTCCCACGCCGCTTTAGATCCCGGAAATTTCAAGGGAACCCCCTCATATTTGCAAATGGCCGCATTCACGCAAAGCGTACCTATCAGATTCATCAAACTGTAAGGGGAAAACCCAAATATCACTTGAGGACAGTGAATGGACCAAGATAAACCCTCTTTCTTGTTCGCCTCTTCAAACAGAATGTCCTCCTGGGTGTAGTAGAAATTGGGCGCGTCGAGTCGGGGCAAGTCTTCGGTGACAGGTGTGTCATGGGTTTTGTATCTTGCCAATCAACTCAAACGGACCAACGTAGTGTTTGGAACCGGTTTGAAGACATATATGACAGAGATTTGGAGCATTTGGGATGACGGCCCGGAGGACGTTCCTGAGCATGCGACCATTCACCTCGCAGTTCTCGGCCTCGGTGGGTCGACTGAGCCAGGACACATAGAAGATGTGGGTCACATCGTTCAATCCGGAGAGCTTGGCTTCGGTGTCGGTTGGATCGGAGACATCGCACTGGATATAATGAATGGGATGATCGGCATTCCAGTTGGGTCGTGGGCGGCGAGCGATGCCATATACCTTCCGTGGTCCGCCGGGCGTATCGGCGAGTGGGAGGATCTCGGCTAGGCTATTGCCCACGATGCTGGTAACACCAATCACTAGTGCTACGGTCTGGAAAGTTGGTGGCTGTTCATCTTCACCAAATTTCTTCTGGAGAGGAAGATGAAGAATGAGAATGGTGGGGGGGCAGAAAAGATAAAGGGATAGAAATGAAGGGAGTGATAGAGAGGAGAGATGACTTGCCTTGGCAGCGCCGATTGCTCCAGCCCACCACTAGTTCAAAGCTGATTCTCGAGTCTGTGAGAGGAGGATGCCAGATAAATTAAGTAATGGATCGATCCAATCTTGGAACAGGATTTACAGCGTTTGCTAGTCGAAAGTAGATAAATCTTAACCGCCGGTTAATCATAGACTTATCTCCCCAGCAGAGTCGGTGGGTATCGTCTCGTCTTCTCTCTGTTGAATCATTGATCATTTGACAAGCGTTTTTTTGGGAGTTGGCTTCCCTCACAGGGGGCAAGCCGTACGCAAACTCTGCTGGCAAGTTAATATAAATTTAATTTAAACAATTAAAATTTAATATATTTTTATTTCAATTTAATATGAATGATATATATTTAATATTAAAAATTTATAAAATTATAAAAAAATTAATATTAAACTTATACTAGTTAAAATATATTTTGATAAAAAATTTAATATTAAATATAAATCATTTATATTAATTGTAAACTCTCTGAACTACTTAAAGGATGAAGTATGTATTTGACTAACGTTTTAGACAACGTGCGAATAAATATTAGACTCTTTGAATTGCATAATTTTTCTGAAAAGCAATTTCCAAGCAAACAGCCAAAAAAACAACATGGTGGATATTGCTCACTACCCCGTTCCCCACCTGGGTACGGTGCACCATCGCTAAGTTCTTAATTACTCAAATTGGCTAAGCCACCTGGCACCTGCAGATTTGTTCCCCTCCCTAGACCAGCGGGAAATATCAAAATATATCCATCCTTCACCCCTCATCCCTTCATCCCATGGTGGTTATTCAGTACTTTGCATGGAAATTGAAAGCCATGTCTTTTGCACCTGTCGACTTTCAAGCTTTCATTGAAAGATTGTGGTATCTGGCCGAACAAATAAAAAAGAATGATTTTTTTTTCCCTTCTCTGTCTTTCTAATCAGCAACACTCCGTTCTCGTTGCGTAATAATTATGCACGATTTCAGGAACCTCAACAATAAAAAATAACACTTCCCCCATTTTAAATTATAAAATATTTTTAAATAAAATTTTATATATTAATAAATTTTATTAAACAAAATTTAATAATTTTATTTTTTAAAAATAAAAATATAAATTTTTAAAAATATTCATCATTTAATATATTGAAAAAAAAATAAAAATTAATTATTAAAAAAATAAAAAATAATATTAAAATTAATACATTTAATAAAATCTTAACTTACCCAAAATATTTTATATTTTAAAATAAAAATATTATTTTAAAAATATTTTATAATTTAAAATAAAAGTAATAATAATAATAACAAGAGGAGTGGTTGCAATGCATGACACACCATCTCGATTGCGTTTTATTTTATTTCAAGGCATCGAAAAACTTCACAGAGGACAAATTGGAGACGACAGAAGCTCAGGATCGTCTTTCCCCGGTGTCATTATTAAGTCACAATCTTTGCAGGCTTTAGTTTCGTCCGTCCTAGTTATTAAAGAGTTCTTTCCATGGATCAAAATATTAAATCAAATAAAAAGCATGGGATGGGCTCGTTTTCAAGATTTGTAAAATTTATAGAACGAGACATATTTTTATATTATTTATCTTTTATATTTTTCCAGGAAAATAATCTTTAATGTTCAAACTTTCTGTGCCTAAATTTGTATAATTATCAATTTAATTTTTAAATTTAAACTTGAAATAATTCAGCTCTATACTTGAATATTGAATAGATTTATTTCTTATTCTTCTAAAAATGAAGACGGATTCAGGGGATGTAAACGAAGAGGAATGACACAACGTCAACAAATAAATCAAAAGACGGAAATGTTACTTGAAAAAAAAAAATTAAAAAGAGTAAAGGGTGTAAACTTTTGCCGGTTTTGATTAGAAAGAAAAAATGAATAGAGCACTGTTTTAAAAATCAAACTAATTGAATTATC